GTTCTGCTTTCCACTGTGTTGGCTCCAGTCTCAAGCAGCCTCCACCAGTTCCAGGCTGCCATCCGTATAACTCCAAGTTCAGGGAGAAGAGAGGTTTTTCTACCTCTCCCATGATAAATCCCAATAATTCCCACAAAAATCCCAGAAGTCACTCTAATTGGAAAATTTGATTTGCATACCTATCCCTCAATCGATTGCTGGGAAGAAGGAGATGGAAAGGCACTGATGAGCCTGGATCCCACGGAGGGATTAGCTGCATCCAAATTATGTGGGCTGAAAATGTGAAAGGACCATCCTCTCAAAAAAAATCTAGGTGCTGTTACCAGGTGAAGGGATGTTAATGCAAGCCCCCCCAGTTTCTATTACGTGGTCTGAGACTGAAAATGCCTTGACTCCCTGCCTGATTCAGGCCCTGATGGATTCCTGATTATAGGGGGTGACAGTAATGACCCCTATGTGCTCCCTTAATGGTCATAAGAAAGGATTATTCAATTTTAGTTATTCATCCAGTAAGTAGATATTGAGTATGTACAATACACCAGAAACTTGGCCATCTGATTGGAATACAAATTCCAATAAAATACAGTCCTGCCCTCAAAATGCTCCTGGAGGCAAGGATAATTAACACAAAATTACAAATTACTGTCCTACCTATTATAAAAGAGGTACGTAGAAAGTGCTGTGTGACATTTGTCCTGAACTTTACTGGTCATTGAACTTACTTTTCTAGATCAATTCTGAGTCTCACAAAGTACACTAAAATCTAATTTTCAAAACAGCAAAAAATCTAGTATTGTACATGAGAACAATGTTAAGCAAATAGCCCGGTTTTAGGACCTAAAGATCAAAGCCTAGAATGTAACGTCCTTGTTGTTCCCCTGTTAATCCAGGATTTAAAATGAGACACATAAGTGCATTCTAAGACTGTGTGAAGGTGACCTTGAAAGCAGTTCTTGTTGTTTTTCAAACAAAAACAATAAATGCCTCAGGGAGATCACTGACACACGTTCTTTGAGACGGAACAGCCAACAATTTGCAATCCCATCTGCCATTCAAAACGCTGCAGAACTCTCCAGTCAAGACTGCCTTATGCTGAAGCAGGTCGTGCCAGGGAAGCACAGGTGCGGGACGAGAGGGTGAGAGGGTCGCGGCAGCAGGAGTGAAGCCTCGATGGGCTTTACTGACAAAAGTGCTTCATTCCTTCAAACTTGTAACATCTTTAGAAATCAGAGGAAGTTTTGTAAAATATTACAGAGAGGAAGAATTTGTTCGTGAGTGAAATCTGGAAGTATTCCCAAAATGAACTCAAGTCTGGTGATATTTCTTTTTCTCGTTGACTAGAAATTTGTTAGGCAGAAAGTGGACATTTAAGATTTAAGAAAGTTTTTAAAACATGGAGACTAGTCTTTATTTACTTTCATTCAAGAACATGTATTAAGCACCACAATGCACCCCATGTCACATTAGGCAATGTTTATGCACAAATGACGTTTGTGCAAGTAACGTTACACAGTACTTGTCCTTGTCCTGCTGTCTATTGGGGGAGGTAAGGGCATAAACAGATAGTCACAGCATTACGTCATTTATGCTGTAACAAGCTTTTACAAGGTGCTGGTAGACAGTCGGGTGGAGAGAGGGAGAAGAGGAAGTCATGTTTAAGTGGAGGCTTCAAAGACGTGTGGTAGTTCACTAAGTTGATGAAGCCAAGGAGGGCCTGTGTAGCAGAGAAAGAAATGAACGTATAAAAAGTACATCATTGTGGGGCCAGCCCTGTGGCGCAGCGGTTAAGTGCGTGCGCTCTGCTGCTGGCGGCCCGGGTTCAGATCCTGGGCGCGCACCAACGCACTGCTTGTCAGGCCATGCTGTGGCAGTGTCCCACATAAAGTGGAGGAAGATCAGCACGGATGTTAGCTCAGGGCCAATCTTCCTCAGCAAAAAAAAAGGAAGATTGGCGTGGATGTTAGCTCAAGGCTGATCTTCCTCACAAACACACAAAAAAGTACATCATTTCAGGAAGCTCACATGGGCATAAGGAAGCCATTGAAGACTTCTGAACAAGGGAGGGACATGATCAAAGTTGTGCCTCCGAAAAATCCTTCTGGCAGTGTTATAGAGAATTAGACGGGAGAAGGGAAGAGTTTGGAAGTAGGAACACCAGCCAGGGGGCTCCTGTGGGCATCCAGAACTGACCTGAGAGACTGAACTAAGGCAGGACAATAAAGTTGGAGCAATGCGGACATGATGACTAGTTGCTAGTAAACTAGAAATGACAGGCCCTGGTGCTGGGGTGGGAAGAGGTGAAGGAGAAGGAAATGTCCAGCATGATTCCCAGGCTGGGCTGGCTTCATGGGCATGTGCTCTGCGCAATCTCACAGGGCCCCCCAGCTAGAAGGGTCCCAGGTTTGGTTTAACACTCTACTGCCACCATCTTGAAATCATGACTTTTTGAACAAGAGGCCCCACATGCTCATTTTCATTTTGCACTGGGCCCTGAGAATCCTAGAGCCAGTCCTGTTCCCAGGTTTCTGTCTTGAGCTAAGGGGTGGCTCATGGTGCCAATAACTGAAATTGGAAACAGAAGAACATATTTTGTTCTATGAGGGGTGAGTGGAGAGATGAGTTCAGTTTTGCAACACATAGGTCATCAAAGTAGAGAGATTAAATACGCTGTAGAAATTGGATGTAAATTCCAAGCAAGGTATAAGCTAGAGTTATAGATGTGGGGAGTACCAAGGCCAAGGTGGTGGAGACCCTGGATGTGGATGCAAGTGTGTGGAGGGAAAAGAAGCTAGAGACAGAACCGTCTGGAGCACCAATGTTTAAGGGATCAGAGAAGGGAAAGAGAAATGTAAGATAGAGACTCAGAGTCCTGTGGGAAAATTTTGGAGGGAATTGTGTCCTGGGAGCCAAGGAAAAAGGAGTCCCAAGGAGGAGAGAGTGATCGTGTGAAACACATGCCACAAAGAGATCAAATAGGGAAAATGTCCATTGCATTTGGCAAGTAGAGGGTTGTGGTAAGTGCTGAGAACAATGGTGGAGATGCAGGCCGTATTATAATGAGATGAAGGAAAAACCAGGAGGAAACAAAGTAAGTGCAGACTATCCTTTCAAGAAGCTGGTCTATGAAGTCAAAAGGAGGAAAAGAGGAGAGTAGAGAGGGTGTAGAATAAAGGCAGGTTTTTGGTTTTTTTCCTTCAGATGGGGGAATCGAGCAGGCTTGTGTGTGAGAGCATTGCTCTTAGGATGGGAGAGGAGGGCACACGCTTCCAGGACAGAAGTACAAAAGACAAAGGTGGGAATGGAGAAGACAAACTCATAGACAGAGTGGTCAGAAGGTGAGCGAGTGTTATACACACTCCCCCTGCACCTATACATGCAAAAAACCCAAAACAAAACCAACAAATCTCTCATTTTCTCAGCAGTGTTAAGTTGACCACTGAGAGTGAGGTGGTCAGAGAGCAGCGGGGCTTTAGAGGGTGTTGAAGGTGAGTAACTCTTCGCACGCTAGGCAAGGATACCGATGGGGGACAGGTATAACTACCAAGGAGCAGGGAGCACACAGCTGCTGAGAGAGCAGGGGCCAGTCTCAGGAGAGAAGCAGAACCCAATGACGCTTGCAATTTGTATGGATGAAAAACTGTGATAAGCAACTTTGGCCCAGGGTATTCAAAGCTCAACCAGGGGAAAAGACATTTGCCTCTGAATAATTTTCTTTTAATTAAGCTCTGAAGACCCTCCATCGCAATATTAGACCCTCACAACAGCACCTGCTTTCTCAGGGCTGCCCAGCCAGCACCAAGGATCCCCAGCATCAGTTAGAGGCAAAATTGCAGAGGCTGCAGCAGGGCAAGTGCTGATTTGGTGATGAATGCATCATCAAGACCTGAGGCTCCTGCCTCCCTCAGCAGAAAAGAAGTTTATAAACTCATAACACAGCTTACTCTATGGTCTAATGATTAAACTTCCCTGGGCCAAATTTCATTGCAGCTAAGTTAAAAACTGACCTGGCCACTTACACCCTTCTCCCTGAGGTGATTCATTAGAAAACAAGCAAAATCTCCTGACTGGACTAACAACTAACTATACCCCCCTTATTCAGAGCACTTTTGCCCAGAGCAGGACTAAAGAAAGCTCAAACTTTGACCCCACCCATTGCTAAGGCAGCAGAATTGGGCTAATTCACAGAAAGGGTGGCAGAGTTCCACCACCAGCCTCTTTTCCCTCTTCAACCCCCAGGAGATGGCTGAGCTCATATTTACCCCTTCTTTAACCAGACAGGTCCACACAGTGCTGTTTGAGACCCTTCATTAGAGGCCCTCTCGCCCACCTCCCCAGTTGTATACCAGGGAGTTCCTCTCTAGAATTGCTGAGGTGGTGTTTTGCGGAGACTGTGGAGAAGTGCGTCCATGTGCGACCTCCGGCTTTGTGGCTGAGGCAACCTTGTCACAGTGAGATGGAAAAAGGCGTCACTAACAATAGTGTCGTTCGACACATTCCCTGAATTACAGCCACGGTCTGGATTTAGGTAAGAAGTAGATTTTTAAAAGCAGAATTAGAATGGGTAATTCAATGCCGAGGCCGCCTGGGTGGCAGTGACTTTAGACAGGACAAACGCGGGCGCAAAGGAAGCGTAGAGAAGAGCAGTTCCCTTTCTTCATATGAAGACATTACAGCTGTCGCGCCGAGCTCAGTGACACCGTGGGTTCAGTTCCTTCTCAGGAACAAACCTGACAGGTCGACCCCTCTTTCTTAAGGATTAACCCGCCTTCCCCGAGCGCACGGTACCAGACTTGTAGCCTTGGGCACCTTTTCGTGACTCACTCCTTACAAATGTAAATGCACGAGTGCGCGGGAGGTCCGGACCAGGCCCTCTCGCCGGGGCGATCGGAGCACCCACCTCCGCGACCAGCCCTGACGCAGCCCGCCCCCGCGCCGGACCGCCCGGCCCTCGGCGCCCCGCTCTGGACGCGCACCCGGCGGCGGACCCGCGGCCGCTGCCCGGGAACTGGAAGAGCCAAAACCCCGCGGCGCCCGCAGACGCGGCCTTAAAACAAAAGAGGCTCCCCGCAGGGTGGGACCGGGACCTCACCAGCTCCTCGCCAAGTTGCGGCCGCCCGCCCCCTCGGCCCCTAGTCTCCGTGTGCGCATGAGCAGAGACGCCTCCCTCGGTTCCTCCCAAGGCTAAACTTTCTAATTCCCTTCTTTGGGCTCCGCGGCTGCCAGCAGCGGGAGAGCGCTCGCACCGCCGGGTGAGGAGAACAAAGTGGCTGCGCGATTTTTCCCCTCCCCACCCTCCCACCCTCTGCTTCCGTGGGAGCGGCAGGAAATGGAAGGGCCCCTCTCCTCTCTCTGAACGTTTGCTTTTTTTTTTTTTCCCACCTCTCCAGAAAGAAAGACGGGAAAAAGGAGCAGGCGGCTCGGCAGGCGTTTTCTCCCCTCCTGTGCCGTGTCCCCTCGGCTGCAGGGATTGGACATGGGGCTGCTCCAGGTGTTCGCTTTCAGTTTCGTAGGTAATTCCGAGGAAACAGTGGGGGGAAGAGGGTGAGCTTGGACAGGGGGGAAGAAAACCCAAAAGCCATTTGACCCAGCCTCCAGGGAGCCTGGGGAATCGGGAGGGGGACTGGGGTGGTAATTCTGCCCTGGGATTAAACCCCAGCGCCCTTGGTGGCAGCTGAAGACGGCGCGCGAGGATCGCCGCGGACCCGCATCCCGGGGGCTTCCGCGGCCGCCAGTCGGGGCTTTGCACCTTCGGCCTGTTCACGGTGGTCTCTCCCCCGCTGGGGTGGGGGAACAGCCTCTCTGGGCTGGAGGGGCTTGCCGCGGAGGGCTCCCCTGGAGCCCATTTCCCAGGAAAGTGCCCGAGCTGAACGCAGGCTTAGTCCTGGAAACCGATTGGGGCCATGTGGCTTTAATTAACCATCGCTGTTTGCCCCCGGATGGCGCCAGAAACAGCTGGACCGGGTGCTTCCCTGGAATGACGAAGCGTTGAAGCCACTCCAAAGCCGCAGGGACTGCCCACTCGCCCCTTGCCCGGGAAAGCAGTGTCCCCCGCGAAACCTGCCACCTCGCCTCCTCCCCACCCCGGGAAGCGCCCACGACCTCCGAGCACGCAAGCACACACACTCGCGCTCCCACACGCTCACAAATTTCCACGCGTACATACTCGCACTCTCACACTGAGCATGCATAGGCTGCCGCGTGCCCGCGGGTTCACATACACACACACGCGCGCGTGCGCGCGGGTGTGCGGTGTTTGGCCGCCCGCCTCCCTGCGTCCAGGTCCAGGCACATGGAAGTGGCTCGTCTGCCCATCTACCTTTTGTGGCCAGAGCTGCTTCCTGGGCAGATCAGGGTGGGCGCGAATGTCAGTGGTTTACGGGAAGTGATGCTCTGGGCTGCTGGACAAACCTGATGTGTCTGTGTTTTTCCCCGAATCCTTCTCTCCACGTCCCGGCCTCTCTCTCGCTCATCTCTCCATTGTCTCTTTTCTGTGCTTTCTGCTTCTGAATACTCTGTCCCCGCCCCTGCTTGTTCCTTTTGCTCGGGCTCGCTCCCTACTTGTGCCTCCCCCACCACCCTGTCGCCTGCCCCTTCCGCAGCCCTGTGCGGAGCCCAAGTGCTCGCCCAAGAACCGGAGTTCAGCTACGGCTGCGCCGAGGGCAGCTGCTACCCGGCCACGGGCGACCTGCTCATCGGCCGAGCACAGAAGCTCTCGGTGACCTCGACGTGCGGGCTGCACAAGCCCGAGCCGTACTGTATCGTCAGTCACCTCCAGGTGAGGACGGAGAGCCCGGCTCGGCTCGAGGCTCCGCGCGCCTCCTCCAGTCCAGACCTAAGGGGCGGGTCCAGGGGACTCAGCATCCTGCCAGCTATCCAGATAGGAAGCGCGGACAGCCAGAGAGTCCCGGGATTAGGCTGGTAGCTCACCCTTTTGCCCCATCTCAGTTTGCACAGTTGCATCCGCCGAAGGTTTCCTGCCGCCACCGCCGCCGGCACAGTCAGTATGGAAAGGCAGGGCTGCAGACAGACCTGACCCCTGCCCCATGCCCAGACCCAGGGGCCACAAAAGTCCCGTGTTGTGGTGTGCGTGTGCGTGTGTGTGTGTATGTGTTTCTAAATCTTTCCTCTTTGGAAATGTGTCTAAAAGGTGCTTTATCCTCTTCTTTTGTACTGAGTAGTGATCTTGGGTTTTTCCCGAATCTTTCACTTCGATAAAGGGTATTCCAGCACTGACCGACGCCTTGCAAGGTCACTCCAACCACTGAACCTATTTTCTTCTCCTCATTTGGTGCTGTTCCCCTCCACCTCCATTAGATATCGGGATCAGATGCTTTCTTTTTCAAAATGCGGTGGTTGCCATGGTACCCTGATAGAGGAGGACCAAAATGAAATTTCAGGGTGTTATCTGTTTCTAAAAGTAGAACCAGATTTTGGATTTCAGAAGTCACGTTTTTACAAAGTCAACACTAATTTTAAAAGAAGACACGAAGTGTAAACTATCCAGAATCAGAATCCCTTTCCTTGATTTTTGGAAAGGAGACTGATGTCTCTGGCCTCTAAGGCAAGCAGAAGGTAACACCTGTGAGACCAGAAGGTCTCACCTGTAGGGCGAGTTCCAACCCAATTGCTCTAATTTTGGTCACTTGACTCGCCTATATACCTGCCCTTTAGGAGTAGGACAGAGTGTTGTATGCTTTGCACGGCAGATGCCTTAAAATGGAGTCACTTTTACAAAGCAGAAAGAGACCATTGCGTAGACTTGATACATTAAACCGAAGGAATGTGGTGAAGTGGATTTCACTCATTTGCTTCCAGGCTTATACAGAGATGTCTAGACTGCTTCCTCCTGTGTAGAAGGGAGGCTATAATTAAACTTTTTTTTTTAAGTTCTGGTAATTGTTCTCCAGTATTAGTTTCCTTGACCACAAGTTAATGAAGGCAGTTGATGTTACCTTTTTCTAATATTAGCATGTAAATTTTACCTAAAATATTATGCTAACATTTACCTCAGAGGCCAGGACATCCTGTAAATGAATCACCAGATTCTGAAACCAGCTTTGACTAGAATGAGAATTGAACTATTTGCCTTAAAAGCAAGTGGAGCCAAACTCTCTGGTTTGCATGATTAGCCGTGAAATTGTGGAGTGCTCTTCACAGATGTCAGAGCCTAGAGAAAGGGTCTGGGCATGCACTTTTCTCAGACATTTAGTGGCAGAAAAAATTGAGTCAGGAAGCTTAAGTATTTTGGCCAGGGTCCCATTGCATCCTCAACTTCTTGTCTCTATTTTTTAGTTAGTACATCTTGCCAGTGTCTAAATCTTTTGGGAGGAAGGTGATAACTAAGAGCTAACTAAATAAATACAAATGTAAAAGTACAGTCAATTGATGTTGTCCTTACAAGAAAATCACCCTTGCTTAAATGTTGTTTGTAAGATATATGTGGGTCTCTCTGGATTTCACTCTTAGCATCATTTTTCAGACTTAAGAATAATCTGCATTTCAGAAAATTTAGGCAGGGAGCGAAGCTCCACATGGAAAAGGGAACTATTAAGTTATGCTGTTTATGACCCGCCATGATGGAGCGCAAAGAAGGTTTTTTGAACTCTCCTGACCCAACTATCAAAGTGGCTGTGGCCCACAATTTAGAGAGAAGGAAAATGAGAAGAGAGAAGTTCAAAGCTACTCTGAAACCTAAAGTATACCTTAATTTCAGTTCAGGTCCATTTGGGTGTTCTTTGAGTTGGTCCCAGCTTAGAATGTTCGTGACACAGCAGGATAGCCTGGTACCCCCTTCCCAGATATTCTAAGCTGTTCGTAGGTTAGCATGCATGCCGCCACCCCAGCAGATTCACTGCTTCGGCAGAGTCGAAGCTAAGAAATCTTATTCTGTAGTTCCCAAATCTTAAATACTTCTGCTTAATACTTGGTTTCTGCCGTCTGTAGGTTTTAGAAAATCAGGCCAAATGAATTGTTCTTTTTTTCTTTTATTTTCAGTTTGCTTCGTGTCAGCAAAAATTCTCTAATACCTCTTCTGCATTTTACTTTAAGAGTAAGCTTCTCCGGCTATTTATTGAGATTAAGGCTTAAGCCTAGAAATTTCATTTTGATTAAATTAATAGCTTGTGGAAACAATGCTTTCTTTTACTTTTGACCTTGAATTTGCAAGAGAGGAGGAAATTTTCAGGAGTATTTCATACTCAATAAGTTAAGGAGTGAAAGGCATGTGATATTTAAGTAATTTTGGCACATTCGTTTTTCTTAAAGCAAGTAGGTTTGGTTTTTGTATTGTGGGCTTGATTTTTCTTTTGTTTTGTGTGTGTGAGAGATTGCTTCACAGACTCATGAAACTCTTTGCTTTTAGGAGGACAAAAAATGCTTCATATGCGATTCACAAGATCCCTATCATGAGACCCTCAATCCTGACAGTCATCTCATTGAAAATGTGGTCACTACGTTTGCTCCAAACCGCCTTAAGATTTGGTGGCAATCTGAAAATGGTATGTGGCTGGTGTGGGAACAAGTTCCGTGGAGTGTGGTTGGTCACCTGGAAGGGGTTTACCTGCTCCTGGGCATTTGTAATTGCGATTGGTTTCTCTGCCCTGTAATTATGGCCTTTGATAGATTTACTGCCTGAAGTACCAACTTCTCCAGGTTAAAATCTGATCCTTCTGCCTGAAGCACGCACTTCCTGTAAGAAAGCAGTCGTTCACGTTAGACCAAAGAATTATTTCGTAGTCCTCATCCTGAGGGGCCCTTTGGGGAGTGTGTATATGTGCTGGGGAGGGCATGGGAAGGCCCTTATTCTTCCATAAAACATAAGCATCTTTCATTTTGATCAACCCCAAAGGAAAGGGCAGAATCAGCCCCATCACTACCACCATACCATCTTCCTTCCAACTAGAGAAAATTTAGTAATAGTACTAAGCAGTAGGCGTAATTTTTCAAAGGCTCTGTCTACATGGATATGACCCCAAGTCAATTCCCCAGTGAGTGTGCAAATCCAACCCCTTTTCCTTTCTGTGCATTTTGGTTTAATATGTTCATCAAATACAATGTTACTATTGCTGTGAAACTAAGCCCAAATTAGTTTTGCATTTGTTTCAAACTCGAATGCTGAAATTTGCAGAATAAAGGTAGAGTTATTATATTTGTTAATTAACAATATACTATTAGATCTTTTTGAAAAAAATTTTATGAGAAAGGGCTCTCAAAGAAGTACACGGACATTACTAGATCTCTTGATTGTATGCCCTACACCTGGGAAGTTTTTGGATGCTTGTAGTTATTTATCATTCTATAAAGAGGAACTCCCTTAATAGACTTTCTTGTCATTGATTATGAAATTACACATACTTTCTAGAAGACTCTTGGTTTCCAGGGAGGGTTGATTACCCATTGGCCTTTGGACTCCATTGGTTACCAACTTGATTGAGATAGATTGGTCCTCGGAAAGCGTGTATCGATTACAGCCTTATTAATTCTTATAGGAGGAGATCTTGGTTGATAGTTGTGTGAAAGAGAAGTTTCTGTAAATCTGCAGAATCACAGAGGGACTTCTGCAGTAGCATAGAGCTTGTTACAAACTAGGAGCGCTTCCTGACTGCCCATGTTCTTCTAGTGAGACGGAAAGACAATTAGAAGGATGCCTCGACTTGAGTATCAAGTCAACACACAGTAAAATTGTTCATCATGTGCTGTAGTTCTAGAGGAAGGTTTTTCTTGGTTACATCAGGAGTTAATCAATTTCTACAGCTTTGAATTTGTGGGGCAAGAGAGGGCAAATGCCAGAAAGAAGGGATTTTCAAAGAGAGGCGCTTGAGCTCTCTGTCACTCTGTCACAGGGGATCAGGTGAGCTTAGACTGATGGAACTCAGCCTTTAGAAAGTCAGACCAACTATTACTAGCCCCTGTCATCTCTCTGTTGTCTGACAGTTCACAATTCAAGACTTTCTTGATGAATCCGATTTTATCTATTTTCTGTGTGTTTTGTCCAAGTTGAGCTTTACATGGTGGCATGAAATTTTCAGTGCTCAGGCACCAAAAGGGGCTTGGAGTGTAGAGCTGCCTTTAGCTCAGCCTTCATGATGATCTATTCCCAGGTCTGACAGAAATCAAATGCGCTGTGGAAGAATGATCTTGTTTCTTTTCTCTGTGGGTTTTTCTTCCCATATTAAAAACACTGTAATGCTTTATCAGGTTCTAAGTCTAAAATGGAATGTGCTTTTAGGGCACACATTGCAGCATATGTTCTTATGTTACAGAAATGGTACTAGTCTTGTTTGTACTTTACGTTATTTTGTTATCTCTTGATTTTGAACAAATATTGCAGGTTTTTAAAAGCCTGGGAGAGGAGAGGCGTATAGTTGCTTGGCTAACATTTCACTCAAAAAGAAATGTCCAGAGTAGGTTTATTATATGGTTCTTTTTCATAAGTTAGATAAAGTTAGTATGATTATAATGTTTTTCTTTAACATTCCAACTAACTCATATCCGTTCCAATGACCACTTTCCCTCCACAATTGACTTGGCTGTTTTCCAGTGGGAGAGTTTATTTCAAAAGTCCCACTGATTTCCTGAAAATACACCAGCTAGTGACATGATTCATTCTGACACATTCGTGTCTTTCTGCATTTAACTTCTGTTGCTGTGGAAGATGGACCCCAAAAGCTCTCAAGCACAGGATACGTGGAAAGGTCTCTTTAGCAAACAGGCAGGCTTGAGGGCCCAAGGGATGGGGGAGGAGGTGCTTCCATCTCTGGAATTCCAGTGGCCTTTTTAGCCTATTAACGTGGGACTGATCGCCCCCTCAGGGCATGTACAAATGCTGATTTGTTTGTTCAGGCTTTCCCCTGAAAAGGAAGATGTTAGTATTTGTTCTGAGCCAGTTTATTTATTTGACCGATTCTTTGTCTCTTTGGCGCTGTTTTTCAATTGTGGAAATGCATCTGAAGGCTTCCCCATCAGGGATAGATTTTCCTAAATTGGAGTATAACTAATATATGTGGTAGACTTTTATTTATTTTCTTTGCTGCTGCAAAGGAAAAAAGGAGTATTTGTATTTCTACTAGAGGAGGATTGTGTCCCTGTGCTTCAGACTGCAAGCTGATCCCCTACTGTGCGCAGGAAGTGCCTCCCCCCCCCTTCCCCTTTGAGAGCCTCTTGGCTTAGGGGATGGGGAAGATGTTTAACTTTTTGTTAAGTGAAAGATGTCTTTCTTGAAAGCAGCTGGAGGCATTCTGCCAGATGTCTTGTTTCAGTGAGCAGATTCAATATGTTGAACTCTAGAATGATTTGTGGACAATTGAAGAATCATTCTGATTTGTGCCTTACCACCTAAACCGAGACAGAGGTTTATTGTTATTATCTTCAGCTTCACCTTCAGATAGACTGCAAAGAGGATTTCCATGAGGAGCATAAAGATAATTTAAGAAAATAGTCTCAACTGTTTTCAGATGTTGCTGTTTACCTTACTGTTTCCTTTTTTATTTTTTAAAAATCTCATAGGCGTGGAAAATGTAACTATCCAACTGGATTTGGAAGCAGAATTCCATTTTACTCATCTCATAATGACTTTCAAGGTAAGGAATCCATAACTTTCTCACACATGACATATGAGAGCACTGTGTAATTCTCCTTTCAAAATGGATGTCAGTTGTGAGTTGGCCTAAATGGGAACTTAAACATTATTATTGCCATAAATTGGGATAATTGAGCAGCGTCTTAAACGTGGGCATGAATAACTACGTTTAACAAATACCCTATCTTCATGGCAGTAACTAGGGAGAGCCGCTATTCTAAGGTAATTCAACTGTAAACTTTTAATTAGATATCTTTTTATTTCCCCATTGAGAGAGGCATCTTTGACTCTCTCTCAAACCACAATAAAACATCTGGAGAGTAAATGCCTGATCCCTTGTGTTGATGTTTTAATGCTGAGTTTAGTAACTGAAAAGGAAGTATATTATCTTTAGCTTGCAAAATTTGTGGGAGCAGTTTTACAGTTCCTTAAGAAGTGTGTATGCCTTCTTAAATGCAGATTTTCTCATCCTTTTTCTTTTAGAGATGTAAAATGACTCCAGGACTAGGGAATGTCTCTGTACAAAGTCCCTTTGTTTCTTCTTAAGCAGCTGCCTGGAAATGACAGACTTCCCATGGCTTAAAGTACATGTTGGTGCACATAAAACCCATAATTTACTTATTGCTTCTCAGATTAAAATCACTTTTGAATAGTTTTCGGTTGGAGCTGGGGGCCTTATCTGTACCCTCTCAGGTTAGGAAAAGGTGCCAGGGTAAATTTACCTGTGGGCAGGTAGCCATGAAAGTCTCACTTGTGTCCTCTACCGAAAGCTGGGAGGCCAGGGAGCATGGGTGGGTGTGGAAGTCAGAACGTGACCAGGAGCGATGTTGGGCTGCTGGTTCCCAGGCCTAAGCTCTTCATCCCCTTCCCTGCTCCCCAGGAACCTCCTGTTACTGCTGGGGAGGAAGGTTTACACTGTGACACTGGATACTGAGAGGGACGGGAGGGCTTTCACTCAGCAACTCATGGCTTACTCCTTGTCACTTCATTGACCATGCACTCAGCCTGGTGGCTAGAATTGAAACTCAGCCACACGTGAGGATGTTGCCTTCATGTTACTTGACACCTAAAAATAGTCAAAATCATCTTTATTAGTGTTTATAGTCCTATCTTTAACTTTGAAAAGGGCATCTGTTTGCGTACATGGGTAGTTCTGAGTTCTTTTCTATCCAAAAGTCCTTCGGGCACTGTTCTGTAGTTGAATACTCATTCAAGTGAATACAAGGGCCAAAGATGAAATTCTGCACAGACATGCACAAGGTCAAGCAGAGGAGGCGGTGAGTGAGCTGAGATGTGAAGAGTGGGTACAAGTTGTCAGACTTTAGTTTGTGAGTGGGAACTCATTCTTGTGTGTGAAAAGCAACGTCTATGGGGTTAGACAGACTTTGGTATGAATCCCCACTCTGCCCCTTACTGGCATGTATGGCCAGAGCTTTGGCTTCCTCATTGGCAAAATGGGAAGAATAACACTACCTACATTATAGGGTAGTGTGACATACCCCTCTGCTCTGGGAATGGCGATAATCTTGCTACCCTGGCAATAGTGGGAACGTGATCGTTTTTATATATGCTGAGGCTTGGCAGGTAATAATTGCTCTACAGATATTTACTGAATGAGTGAGTGAGTGGATGAAAGTACTCAGCCATCTTCTGTTTGTAAGAAACTGCCCTAGGCCCTATGGGAGATTTAAAAGATAGCAGAGTTACAGCTCTCCGGGGAGCTTCCAATCGTCCAGGGGAGAAAGATATACTTGCAAACAACTTACATTACATGACAGAATATGCTAACTGCTTAGCAGAAGTTCAGACAATGGACATTAGCATGGAGGAGGGTGAGATTAATTTTAGCCTGGAATAAAGAAGAAAGCTTCATAAGGAGAGGACTGGGACGGCACTTGACCGGGCCAGGAAGAGTGAGCAGGATTTCGGTGGGAGGAGGTGGAAGAAAAGCCGTTCTTGGCGGAGGACACTGAGAGCAAAGCTCTGGTGGTAGGTCAGTTCGGGCAGGGTTTGTTCGGCCTGTATTCTGTAGATTCGCTGCCAGCTTGGGGTGGTGAGGGGAGGAAAAGGAAGTAAGATTACACTCAGAAGGACCTTGACTCCTGGCTGAGGAGTGTGAAGTTTATAGGAAAAAGAGAGCCATTGACAAGGAAATGAGACCTGTGGTTCAGCAAGGGAGCCAAGAGGACATGCAGAGAGGGCCAGCGGACAGCAAGAAGAGAATGCACCATGGGAGGTTCTTGTTGAGTCAGCATGAATGGAGGGCTGACTTAGGAGAGTGCCGGTGTTAATGCAAAGGCTGGTGTGACTCTTGACTAGAAGGGAGCCTCGTCCTGCAACCCAGGAGGCCTGGAAGTATTACTTGGAAAGCTTTTTCAAGTCACACACATCCCCTTGCTGCCATACCTTGTTACCCTCTGCTACTGCAGCTTTGGAAAATCGTTGCCTAGAGGAGGAGGCTGTTTTCTAAGGGAGTCAGTTGGACCCTTTAGAATGAAAAGTTCAGCCGTGAAGTGGAGAAACGTTAGAAGCAGAGCAGTGGAAGGGAAAGGGGAAGGGATGAATCAAAGATTACTTAGGCATCCAAGCTGAGTAACTAGGAGGGCGGTGATATCATTAACAGCAGTGAGGACAGGAAGGGGATGAGGATGAAGCATACTTGTTTATTCTCACCCGTGTTTGCCATGGAGATGGCTGATTGCTAAGGGGGTTAGGTTTTCTTAGGCTAGGAAAACACAGTGTGTTTTTGTATGTAGCCAGATGTTCCCATTCTCATAGCTCTTTTATTTAGTATGAATTCAGAGGCAATTGCACAGCAATGTGAGGCCTGAGAAGGTTGATGACTAAGCAAAGGGCATGGAAAGGCTTCTCTTATGTAGGTAAAATGTATTGTTCCAGTTTCCACAGCTTCTTAACTCTACAGGAAATTGGATAACTCGTCAATGGCGCTTTGGGACTCAGAATTTTCCAGAAGGGAGAAAGAAGGAAGCACAGCCAGGGCTGGCTGTAAGGCTTTTCCTCTCTGCTCCCTTGTGACACAGAGACATCAGCCCCGTCTCTCCCCAAGTGTCACCACCCAGGAGACCAGTCTCCTGGGGAGTTTGCCCTGGGTCAGTTAGTTATTGGGTTTTTTCCTCACTTACTTTAAAACTCTTAGTCTAATACTCTCGAGTTCAATAAAGGATCATTTTCTTATATTTCTGAATAAGTAAAACAATAAAAACCTGAGCAACTAGTAAGTGAATGTCAAAGAATCTGTCAAAATGTGACCTTCCAGTTTATTACTCTTGTCTCCTGTATCAGTGAGAAAGACCATCAGGATTATTAAGGAAGGTACAGGAGGTCTGGGAAGGTACTAGTTTTCCCCATTAGTCATCACCCAAATTTCTGTCAAGCCATGGTTTTAATTCAGAAGTGAGTGTTCGGGTTCTGTTTGCTAGGTTGGCTTCTCTTTCGTGCTCTTCCTCCATTGTAATCTGACTTAGACTTCCTAAAATGCACTTACCCTGTTCGGTGTTGCAGCGTTTGCCTATTTTTAGCGCTCATTCTGCTTCATCTCTTATTTCCAGTTGACCCTGTTCGCCACACCCTCCTAAACCTGCATCCTGCCTGTTTCCAGGATTCTCGTCTTTTCCCTCCTTCCTCTCTGACATCCATTTTTCAGTCTTCTATGATGCCATTAGCCAGTAAGGCAGCAAGATAGGTTTAGTCTTAATTCTGCCTGGATCCGAATCTAAGCTCTGCCGATAGCCAGCAAGTCACTTGATGTCTGTGAGCCCCAATTTCCTTGTCTGTGAGACAGATGTGTGGTGAGGGCGTGTTGGTTTCCTAGGGCTGCCATCACAAAGTACCACAGACTGGGCGGCTTAAACCACAGAAATTTATTTTCTCACAATTCTGGAGGCTGAAAGTCTGAGATCAAAGTGTCAGCAGAGTTGGTTTCTTCTGTGGCCTCTTTCTCTCCTTGGCTTGTAGATGGCTGCCTTCTCCCTGTGTCTTCACACGGTCTTCCCTCCATATGTGTCTGCGTCCTAATTTCTTCTTCGTATAAGGACACCAGTCAGATCAGATTAGGGCCCACTCTAATGACCTCATTTTACTTTATTTATCTCTTAAAAACCCTGTCTCCAAATACAGTCACATTCTGAGGTACTGGGGGTTAAGTCTTCAACATAAGAGTTTTGGGAGGACACAGTTCAGCCCACAACAGAAGGTTAAATGTAATTAAAGTTCCTGGCGCCACTCTCTTTCCTTCTGTGTCTAGTCCTTTGTTGATGCATTTTCCTGGAGCACCGACTTTGGCTCTTTTTTATCTTCCCCTTTGCTTTTGAGGGCAGAAATTACGTCTTTGGAGGTTTCAAATATTGTATGTATACAGTGACTCCTAAATCCATGTTTCAGGCTCCATTCTTGCAGCTGTGTGCCAGACCACTGTTTCCAGTTGTCCAGTGGGCGTCCCCACATGGATACCTCTCATAGGACTATTCCAAAACCAAATGCCTTCGCTTCTCTTCTGTGTCTTTGTTATATTAGCAGAATAGTCCTCCCAGCTACCTAAGCTCAGGTGCCCATGTTTCTTTCCTCTCCCTCCCTCTCCACTGAAATCTAATTGATCACCAAGTGCAATTCAATGTCTTTTACTTTCATTAAATTTTCAGAGCAGTCATTTCCATCCCTTTCTGTCTATCTGTACTGTAATGCTTGAGTTAAGACCTTCATCGTTTTTCTATCACTTGGTTTCTTGTCTCTTGTTTTTTCCATGTCCAGTGATTCTGCCACAGAGTTATTTTTCCAAAGTGCAATCTGATCATTTCTTTCTGTCCACTTAAATCTTTCAGAGTTCCCCTTCCATTGCATAAAGATAAATCCCTTAGCGTGGCAGGCAAATTCCTTCCTACCCTGCCCCAACCATCCTCTTCTGCCACCTGTAGCCATCTCTGCCCCCTGCCTGGAAAACACCTAGTCACCCTTTTAAGATCTAGTTTGATGCCATCTTCTCTTTGAAGCATTCCCTAGTTTTGTGTGTGTGTATGTGTGTGGTAAAATATGCATAACACAAAATACGCCTTTTTAACGATTTTTAAGTATGCAGTTCAGTGGCATTCGGTATATTCACAATGTTGTGCAACCATCATCACTGTCTATTTCCAGAACTTTTTCATCACCTCAGATAGACACTCTGTACCCCTTAAGCATAACTCGTCATTACCCCCTCCCCAAATCCCCTGGTAACCTCTAATCTACTTCCTGTCTCTATGTACTTGCCTATTCAAGACATTTCATATAAGTGGCATCATATAATATGTGGCCTTTTGTGTCTGGCTTATTTCTTAGTATAATATTTTCAAGGTTCATCCATATTGTAGGAAATATCACAATTTCATTCCTTTTCACTCAAACTAACCGATTATAGTATGGGCATGGTGACTAAATATACCAAAAGTTGTCTGCTATTAAGGCCTGTTTGTAATCAGCTTCTAAAGAGAAACAGCTTACTAATCTCTGGTAGAGTGGGGGAAAGTGCAATATTTGGAGGATAGGCACTTTCCTTACAAGAAGAAGCTCATGGAACAGCTCGAACTATTTGAAATCCAGCCACAGTCTGAAATACCAACCACATGCAGTCAGAGTTTGTGGCACACAGTTGAGTGATATTTTCCTCTTGAGATTTTAAAAAAATACAGATTACCAATAAAAAGCATCAAGTGAGCCTTCTCTGTCTCTCCCTTAGACATTCCGCCCAGCCGCTATGCTGATAGAACGGTCGTCTGATTTTGGGAGAACCTGGGGCGTGTACAGATACTTTGCCTACGACTGTGAGAGCTCATTTCCGGGCATTTCAACAGGCCCCATGAAAAAAGTCGATGACATAATTTGTGATTCCCGATATTCTGACATTGAACCCTCAACGGAAGGAGAGGTTTGCTTTTTTGGTTTTACATTTGAATTGCAAATCTAGTTTTTGATCGTTGCAAAAATACCAATTACTCTTATATCTATTTTTAGGTGATATTTCGTGCTTTAGATCCAGCTTTCAGAATAGAAGATCCTTATAGTCCAAGGATACAGAGTAAGCTTGTTTTCAAATAGAAGCTTTGATGGAAAACAGCAATCATGGAAGAACTCTTACCCAGAGCAATGCTACCCAGAATATAAATATTCAGTGCTAACTCCACCCACTTCCTTTCCTTCTTTCTCTGCAGTACCTACCAGGAGCTCCTGCAATCGGCACAAAGTCCTTACTGATGGGGAACACATTTTGATAAGAGTAAAAGATTTATGTCTTATGTGCTCAAGCAATTATGCTGGTCATAATACCTTATTTATTTTGCTGCTAAGTATAATATATATATATATATGACATATATCATATACATATTATATATATATGACATATATCATATACATATTATATATATATGTATAAAAATTATGGTATAGATTAAACTGTTATAACAAAGTGTCCCCAAAAATATAGTGGCTCAAATAAAATAGAAGTATATTTCTCTCTTATGAAATCACCCAGAGGGATTTCCAGAGGAGAAATGTAGCTCAGTTGCCATAAGTAGGCTTATCAAATAAAATACAGGATGATACCCAGTTAAATTTGAATTGCAGTTAAACAACAAATTATTTTTTTAGTATAACTATATCTCATGTAATATTTGTGACTAGTACAAGTATCCTGTACAGTATTTGTGGTTGGTGTAACTGTGTTCCATGTGATTTGGGCCATACTTATACTAAAAAATGATTAGCTATTTATCTGAAATTCAAATTTAACTGAATGTTTTGTGTTTGTATTGCTAAAGCTGGCTAAATTAGGTCACCCAGGTTCCCAGGTTCCTTCTGTCTTGTAGTCTTTATCCACATGGTTGGAGCAGGCCCGACACCACCATGTCCTTGTCCCAACCTGTAGGAGGGGAGGAAGTGAAGGGCAAGCGATGTGGAAGCTGTACATTACTTCTGCTCACGTCCCATTGGCCAAAATTAGTCACGTGGCTACACCACAGGAGACACGGGGAAACATCTCTAGCCAGGTGGCCATGTACTCTCTCAAACTCTTGGCTAGAGCTCTTATTGTCAAAAGAGGAAGAGAAGAAAGAATACTGGGGGAAAATCAGAAGCCTCAGACATGTTCTATAGGCTCAATAAGGTGAAGGCTGTATTTCCATTTAACAGAGGAGTAAACTGAAGTTCAGAGGGTTGGAATAACATTGCATAAGGTAACATGGCTATTTAATGTCAGTCAGATCCTGAACCCATGTGTTATGATTCTCAGTTCAGAGCTCTTTCCAGCATTCAACAGCTATGCCTGTGTTTTTACAGAATTCCGTCTTGATCTTCTTGGGAGGCAGAATGTGCACAAATTAAAAGAAAGGGCTTTGGAGTCAGACCTGGGGTTAAATCCCAGTTCTGGCATATTATAGCTATGTTACCTTGGGCAAGTAATTTATGTGAAACTGTTTTTAGCCTCTGTTTTTTCATCTGTAAATGGAGACAGTAATATTGACCTTAGGGTTGTTATGGAAGGACGATGAGTTCATGTATATAAACGACATACCCAAGTGCCTGACGCATAGGAAGAGTTCAGTACGTTGAAGCTGCTGCTGCTACTGTTGCTGTCAGTGTTGCCATCAGCAGCCTCTTAGCTCTTTTGTGGACCTGGTCCCATAAGTCAGAGTGCAGGGACGAGATGCCCTCTCCTGCTGCTGAGCTAGTCACTTGAGCCGAGGTGGGGCTGATTCTTGCTGATCTTTCCCAGCTGAGCGTGGCCCTGTTTTTAATCAAGGCCCCACAGAATTTTCCCGCCTGAAGCATGCAAGAGTAGAATGGAAGCAGTCCAGGGAATATTGCCAGAAGAGTGCTGTTTCCCCACTTGAGTCAATTTTACATGTGGCCCAGACTGTCTCTGGTCTGTAATTGACTCATTCATTCTATTGTAAAACAAATATTTAAGGGCACGTCCAGCCCTGTGCCATTTCTGAGTGAGCTCTGTGAGGCCTGCCCTCCCTGCTCTCAAAAGCAAGCTGTGAGAAATGACCGCCTGGGCTCCGTGGCAAACACCTCCTGGTCCCTAAAAGGACTCACGGTCTGCTCCTTTTTAGGTGAAATTCGTGGGACTTGGGGAATGTGTTGCCATTATAATTCTCTTATCTTTTGTTGTTAAATGGCATCAGAAAATCTATTTCTATATTAAAGAAGCATCCATTTTAAGTGCTCATGCTTTCGATTTACTTTGTAATCAAGGGAACAATATCTCTTTGGTTGTCCCTATTGTTGAGACCTCTAAGACTCACTTCAAAAGTGATTTTGCCTCTTAGGGCAGCAGTCAATACAGGCTTAGTGGTTGTTAAATATGGCAGGAGAGAGTGGAGGGAGCATATTTGCTCTTCTGAGGGCTTCCACAAAGATCAGTTCAAGGGTTTCTAAATACTCCAGCTGCTCTTCAAGTTTGTTGTTTGGTCTCGTCAATAGACGCTTGTGCTCATCCTGTGCAGGAGCATTTGTGCGGGAGGAAATGTTGGCATTCATAAATTCCATTCAGCTGAAGAGTACCACGGTTTCTCTGTTTAGGTTTTGATTTACAAAGAGCCTAAGTTTAATGCATAGACTCATGGACTTTCTCTTTCAACCCACAGCTATTTCTATAGTCTCCATTGTAAGCTATGCACATATTATAAGTATTTAAAATTGGATTTGGGCTTTGAAAGTATCTGATGTGCTGGGCCAATACCCTCTTGTCCTGTGTTGTAAATTTTTAGAATGCATCAGCAGAAAAGAAAGTAAAGCTTAGGAGCAATTTCAAGCTACAGAGCTAAATGGGAGGGCAGATGGATTAATCAATCTTTTGGGGTCCACTCAGCAAGAGCAACTTTGTAATTAATGAAAACACTGGTGAAGACAGTTGAATGGCTCTTGGTTCATCAAGTTACTATAGAGTGTAATTGATAGCCCAACTTCTGCAATAAGCATAGGTCTGTAGACCCAGAAAAAAGAAGAAAAGATAAAATAAGAGGAATTGATTTACAAGTAACTTGTATGTAGGAAAAAATAATTCACCTCAACATCCTAATACTAAGCTCCTTTATCCTTATGCCGCTATATTACATTGGTAATTGTATGGTAAATTATATTGTAAAACTAGAACAAAAGTTGTAGATTGTAATGTTGCGTAAAAACTTGATTAAGAATTCTGTCTCTGGATTGCGGTTATTCTATAGTGTTAAATCTATTTTAGTGGCTGGATTTCGTCTAAATGGTGGGAAATTTCAGATTGTATTTTCCTCCCCCAAAATAAACACAGAAATGTTTCTTTCTAACTAGCTTATCATAATAATGAAATTGGAGTGCTTTGATGAACCCTTTCCCACCTGAATGGAATTTTCTGATTTTGGGACTGGCACCAATGGCTGTGGGAAGCAGATGGTATTGCAATAGTTTAGATTAGTATGTGCCAGTGGGTTCTGGCAACCGCACAGCTGCATTCTTAAATTTCTCCACTTTCACACTTCTTCCTGGAACATCAGTCTGCAAACAAATCCATCACAGAATAGACATTCTTATTAAACTGAAGAGAAGGTGGTATCCTTTCTTTCTTTCTTCCAGAGACTGTCTGGTTTTGTTAAACTTTACTATTATGGTCATCTAGATCATACAAGGGGGGTAAACTTTACATAAGCCATTTTCTTCATTGTGCCTTTCTATAAAGAGGAATGATGTTGTATAATTGTGAAAGAAGTCTTGCTTATTTGATCAGACTTTTCATCTTCTTGGTGACCTTCGTAGATCTCTTAAAAATCACCAACTTGAGAATCAAGTTTGTGAAACTACATACTTTGGGAGATAACCTTTTGGATTCCAGAATGGAAATCAGAGAAAAGTACTATTATGCAGTTTATGACATGGTGGTTCGAGGAAATTGCTTCTGCTATGGCCATGCCAGTGAATGCGCTCCTGTGGATGGATTCGATGAAGAAGTAGAAGGAATGGTAAGCAAGTGCTCTGTGCGGCTTTCTCCTTTAGACAGGTGATTCTAAAAGGCAAATTGAAGCTGGTCTTACTGCTTTCACATTTTCTAGGGGTCTTATTTTTCCAGACTTACAGTTAGCACTTTGTGCCATTCTGGGGGTTGATTGTTGATTTTTTCTTTGATGACTTTCTCGGACTATGAGAATGTAAGTACTGCTTGTTTCATAGACACTGAATTAATTTTTGGAAATTGTTGCTGCAGCCTACTGCTACATTAGATATTTTAATCAACAAGGATTAAAAAATTGTCTAAATAACAATCGCATCTTCCTTTACTTTAGGGAAGATCAAAAACCACAAGCCTTCCAGTCCTTACACTAGAAGGCATAAACTGATCCTAACCCAAAGAAACTGGAAATTTGAACCTAGAACCACAGGATATCATTTAGGAATCAAATGGACTTTGTTTCTTGATGTCTTCTAGTTTCATTCTTTTCCCACTTTTGTGCTGTGTTTTCAAATTATGTACTTCTAAAAATTTGGAATTTGGGTGATTTGCCAAATGGAAAACGTTAGGGCATTTTACCGGTTTCTAAGTGAACTGGTAATTCTTAGAGACCCATAGGATTTTTAAAGCCGGACAGGATTTACTAAACCAACTAGCCTTATTAGAAGAGACCAGGGGTTAAGTCATTTGCCAAAGGGCCCTAAGTAAGTACTTGGCAGATGGAAATTCAAATCTAGTGCTCCCAACTTGGCCCCAGGGTTCCTTGCACTAGACTGGGCTTCCCTTCTTGATGGAGGGTGTCTTGCTTCTTTGCTGTTTGCCTTTTCAAAGATCGCTGGTCCTTACCTAAGAAGGTGCAGGATTGAGTGTATTCAACTCTCTAAAACTTCTGCCTTCCCTTGGCTCCAGTTAGAACATTTATTACATAAAGTTGCATTTTTAACAGAGCCTAAAGGGAGGATGTGTCTTTCTAATCCTGTTGCTACATCTTTCAGAGAATGCTCGGTAGATTGTATTTCCTTTGCAGTGTAACAAATCTCGTATGTAGCTAATGTTGTGTAGTCATGTCATTATCAGGCGTCTCACAGTACATTGTACTGTTTATTCAGACACTGTAGAGTCCTGTGCTATGTGCTTTGGAACTGTTTTTCAATCTATGTAAAACCCCCTTGTTAATTAGAGGATTTTAGTCTGCTGACTGCACTCCTGTCAAAGTGGGTCCAGGGTGGACCTGTCTGTCCTGTTCCTGAATTCCATTCTATAGAAACTGGTGTTGCGTGTTCATTGTGAGGTGCCCATGTTCCTGTGCATTTGGTGGTCCTAAAGAATTTATTGTTTTTATGCCTCAGAGGTCTTAAGCATGCCTTGCAGTGAGACAATGCAATGTAGCTCATCATAGGTCCTTCATAAAGCAATTAACTTCTATCTTTTTCTGAGATTTCGTATTTCCTCACTTAAAGGAAAAAAATAAATGTAAATATGGCAAATGGTTAATTTTTAACATCTCATTTTGGTTGAAAACTTAAGTGCTGTGCCTGCAGTCAAAAACAAAATAAAATAAAACAAGCAGCAAAAGCCTTTCTTTTACAGGGCCGAGTGGTAAAACTTACGGTAATGTAAGTTAGTTCCCGGATGGTGTGTATACTTTTAATTCTGCATTATAACATTTGTTAATTTCTATTATAATAGATTTTTTTTTAACTCTTAACTAGTTTGTTTTTTAAAAAATTCATAAGTGACTGATTTTGTTCATCTGGTTCTTTTCATAGATACTTCCATAAAATATTTAGTGAGCATCCATTACGTAGTAGGAACTACTAGAGATGGGAGTTGTAACCATCAACAAGGAGATAGAAGTCACTGTGGGGAGGGACAAAATAAAAACAAAGAAACTCGCATGTAGTGAGCTAGAGATCAGTGTGAAAAGGGGGTTATATTTTCCATTGATTGTGGAGAAAAGCTGGCCATTAGTCTCTTTCTTACTTTGTTCTTTCCTGTTTTGATAACTTTCAAGGTTCACGGACACTGTATGTGCAGGCATAATACCAAGGGCTTAAATTGTGAACTGTGCATGGATTTCTACCATGATTTACCTTGGAGACCTGCTGAAGGTCGAAACAGCAATGCCTGTAAAAGTAAGTCTCAGTCAGAGAGACATTTTGAATCAATTTGGACTCTAGTCCCCACTTTCTGATCAGAGGTGCTATAATAGTACACTATTTTGCAGAAAGAAGAAAAGTTACTACCCTTTTCCCAGCTTTCCCGATACCCCTATGAAACTTAGAGTATCTATTCAATTAAACTAATAAATTAGTATTTACTGAGCAGCACTATGTGTTTGGCAGATTTAGTAGAAGACTGAGATGTTGTCCCTGACATTGTTTTTAAGTCAAGATGACCATGAGAGAAAATTGAAAGAAAAATATGGCATGGTAGATCATTAAGGGCTAAGAGATATGGAGTAGAGTTTTCGGCCTTGTTTCTGTGCCAGCCCAGCTGCAGCCTGTGGTATACTTCATCCATCCATCCATCCCAGAGGTATTCTCTGGGCAGAGGTGTAATTTGAAACACCACCACCCCTCCCCACCCCACACACAGGGATTCTGATATACTGTCCTCCAGAGGAGCATGCCTGCCTCTGCCCCCGCTGAGAAGGACTGTTCTAGAAGTTCAGAAACCAGTGAAGGCTAGAGTAGTCAAGGTTTTGTTAGTAAGTACAACCTAGCTGGCCTTTGCTTGAATAGTTAAGATTGTTTAGGTAAAGAGACGGGGGGAAGATGGGAGGGAGTTCAGATAAGGAGAACAACTCAGAGGACAAGGCCCCAAGGGCATTCACGTGACCACGACGGAGTCTATGCTAGGAAATGATTCCGAGGTTTAATTTAACCAGTGTAGCTAGGGCAATACTCTGCTAGGCACCAAGGATACATCAGTGGATAAGACACAGTCCTTCTCTGCAGGATGGTCTGTTGCAGGGAGTAGACACACAAGACTAGAGCATGGAGCCCCATGAAGGCCAGGGTGAGTGAAGCTTCGTTGTGAGAAGACAAGAGGAATCGATGTGGATTGTTGAGCATGAGAGTGGGATAATTAAAGCTGGGTTTGACCGAGATAACTCTGCTGCATACGCTAGAGGAGGGACAGACTGCGCTCAAGAAGGCTGGCTTAGATGGCTGTTCAACAGACCTTACTAAATCATAGAGATGATTTCACTAAGGAGCCTGGCCTCCTGTGGTGGTGGGAATGAGGAGGAGGGGAATCAGGCCTTCATACCATGTTCCTCAAAGCAGGGAACCCAAACAGGCTTTCCCAGGAACATATCACCTAGAAAATCCTCAGGAGTGATGTACTTCCATCCAGTCCCACCCTGAGCGGGACCCAAGGGCGTCCTCCATGGATGGCAGCCTTCCTTCCCAGGAAGGAAGAAAGCTTATCCAATGGGACGTTCCCCAAGGGTTTTCAACTTTTTATAGCCCATGCTCTTCCAAAGAGGGCAAATGATTGCATTTATTTCGTAAAGTTCACACTTTGAAGGTTTCTAGCGTGATTTAGGGTTTAAAGTGCCATAAGTAGATTTGTCCTTTTTCACTATGAGCACCTTCTTGTTAACTGCTGCTTTGCCTGAACTTTGTCCCTAGTTTCCAAAATTAGCTTCCTTCCTGCCAACCCCATCCTCCATTGGTAAGTAGATTTAAAAGGCTTTTCTTTTTTTTTTTGAGGAATATCAGCCCTGAGCTAACATCCATGCTAATCCTCCTCTTTTTGCTGAGGAAGACCGGCTCTGTAAAAGGCTTTTCTTGACACTGGTCTTGTCTCACAGAGTGTAACTGCAACGAACATTCCAGCTCATGCCACTTTGACATGGCGGTTTACTTGGCCACTGGGAACGTCAGTGGAGGCGTGTGTGATGACTGTCAGCACAACACGATGGGGCGCAACTGTGAGCAGTGCAAACCGTTCTACTACCAGCACCCGGAGAGGGACCTCCGAGATCCTAATCTCTGTGAACGTACGTGGGGAAAGGGTCATGATGTGGGGCCTGTTTCAGGTCACCTTTCAAGTTGGGTAGTCTGGAAGGTACCATCCTCTCAGGACCTCAGCCTTATCACTTTGTTATACAGGTTGCTGGGAGTGGAATGTACTTGGTAGTTGAGCCTTCTTTTTGTCTGTTTGTGTGACATTTGGAGGGATGAAGGGAACATATGTATTTATGCAAACACACACGCTGTATTACCTGGTGCTTTTCTTTCTCCTTAGAATGTGCCTGTAACCCAGCTGGCTCTCAGAATGGGGGAGTCTGTGACAGTTACACTGATTTTTCTGCTGGTCTCATTGCTGGTCAGTGTCGGTGTAAATTACATGTGGAAGGAGAACATTGTGATATTTGCAAAGAAGGCTTCTATGGTTTAAGTGCTGAAGAGCCATTTGGCTGTAAATGTAAGTACGTTTGTTAGAAAGTTTGGGAGTTCTTCTCTATACATAATTCCCATTTTACTGTGCAATTCTAAATCCAGACTACTACTTTGGACTCACTTGACTTGTGTTTCTTTACTTCATTTTATCTTGAATAAAGCTTGTGCCTGCAATCCTCTGGGAACGATTCCTGGCGGGAATCCTTGTGATTCTGAGACTGGTTACTGCTACTGTAAGCGTCTGGTGACAGGACAGCATTGTGACCAGTGTCTGGTAAGTAAATCTTAATTACATGGGATGGGGAGTTTGTGAATATGACATGTTTTAGTAGAGAATGCTTTCACCATTGTAGATTCTACCATCTCCCTTACTTATAAATGTTAAAAGACACAAATAGACAATTCACAAAAGCGGAATTACTAGTGAATAATTTTGACAAGATATTCACCATTGCTGTTAGAATTGTAAAGTAAAACCACAGTGAAATACCATTTTTACAGACAAAATTAATGAAAGTTTTAAAAAATGGTAATGCTGACTATTAGTGAGGACATAATGAGGGCTGGTGCTTGTATGCTGCTGATGGAAATGCAAATTGGTTCATACTTTGTGAAAAGCGTTTAGAGATATGTATCAGCAGCCTGCAGAAATGTGCATGCCCTTTGACCCAGTAATCCCACTGCTGGGAATCTGTCCTAATGAAATAATCAGAAAATTGGACAAAGATATATTCACCGGAAGACTCACTGTGTCTTTTATTAGTCATAGCACAAAACTTGGAAGCAGAAGTGGGGAAAATAGTTAAGTAAATTTGCGGCCTTCTATACAGTGTGATAGTTGGTTGCCATTGAAAATGACAATAACATGAGGAAATACTTATGCTGGTATAAAAAAAATACAGGATGTGACTAGTATCTTGATTATGTAGGAAAAAAATTCATCAAGAGAAACAAAATCTGGAAGGAAATACACCAAAAAATTTACCGTAGTGATTCTGGGTGGAATAATTATGAGAGTAATTTTTAAAAATTATTCTGTATCTTTTATAACGTACTTGTGATTGCTTTTATAATTTGGGAGAGGGGGTCTGCTGACCCCAAATTATGTTTATGACCACTAAATATGTTTTTTTGTGTGTGTGAGAGGAAGATCAGCCCTGAGCTAACATTCATGCTAATCCTCCTTTTTTTTCTTTTTTTTCCCCAAAGCCCCAGTAGATAGTTGCATGTCATAGTTGCACATCCCTCTAGTTGCTGTATGTGGGACGCGGCCTCAGCATGGCCGGAGAAGCGGCGCGTCGGTGCACGCCCGGGTTCCGAACCTGGGCCGCCGGCAGCGGAGCGCATGCACTTAACCACCAAGCCACGGGGCCAGCCCTAAATATGTATTTTTGCATGTATCCTGATAGATTCTTAAATTTCTGGAATCTGATTTAAACTGGTGAACTTGGTTTTATCTGTTCATTAGGAAATATGAATTTGTTGAGGTGCAAAGAGTTCTCCCCATATCAGTTCTCTCCCATTTCTTATTTCTGTCTCCAGTGTTCTCAAGACTCGGTGATCTCCTCACCTTTCAGTTGTGAAAATAGTCCTTGCTTTATGCTGTGTTTCCACATAGATAAATCCTTGAGGAGCTTTTCCTATGGAGTTTATGACAGACTGAACTTAGGGAAAGTTTAAAGGCCTGCCAAATATTTGCCCAAACTTTCTTACTGCCAGAGTAAGTCTCATGAAGAAAATTGGCATCTTAACTGCTTGCTCGTGTTCATTATTGGATGAAGGCCTTTTGCCGGGCAGAGAAACTACTCTGTGATCTGGCATTATTGTGGGATTATGTGTAACCCTCTCTGACCCCAGTGACGTCACTGCAGCTTGGGTCCCTTTATTTCAGAATACTCATACTCATTCCTTTTGTTGGCTTTCTGCTTTCACGGTGCAAATGAACGTTTGGTGGAAGAACCAAAACACGCCGTAACTTGTTTCTTGCTGAGTCTACTGTGTAATTACAGGAACCCACCTTTAGATGTTTAAACTTTTGTTCTACAGCCAGAGCACTGGGGCTTAAGCAATGATTTGGATGGATGTCGACCTTGTGACTGTGACCTTGGGGGAGCCTTAAACAATAGGTGAGTGGAGCTTCACTTCACTCTTGTAGTCAGTCACCTGGGAAAACCCTCATGACCTCTAGGAGAAGTGTGACATTCAGTGTCTCTTAAGAAGATATGCAAAGTACATTCGCCTTTGGTTTGAATGCCTGATAATCATTTTTACTGTGGTCTCAATGTTTGCAAAGAGTTATTCACTCCAAGAGTTAGCTTTGAAGCCTTCTAGTATGTTTATGTTTCGTGGTTTTTAAGAGTGTTGTTGTTACTTGTTTTTGTACTATTACTTTTCATTATTTTTTTAATCATGGAAACAATATACTGTGGTTTTAAGAAAATTCAAACAGTTCAGATAGGTATCCTGCCCTTTGTCCTCTTGAGTTCCACTGCCTAGAAGTGCCCCTCGCTGTTCACAGTTTCTTATATCTCTCTAGAAATTAATAATAGTGCTCAGAATACCTGTGAAAAATTACAGTTTCCTTCCTCTCATTTCTTTTTAAATAACACATTAGGTTTTATTTTTTTAAACAGACAAGTACAAAGAAAAAAAATAGCCCATGATTTCCCACTTAGCTTTACTGATGTTTTTTGAAAATCAAAGTATGTGTGTATGTACACTATTCTGCAACTTGCTTTTATGTCTCAAGATCTTATTTCACATCAGCGTGTATTCACCTACTTCTTTCTTGTTAGTAACTTTTTGGTATTCTAGCGTGTGAAAGTGCCCTAATTTATTTCCAGGTTTTTTTGCTTTTTAAGAATGTTGCCATGAATATTCCTGTAGGTATATCTTGGTGAATGCTTGTAGATATATCTGTAGATGATGTTCCCAGTGATGGAACTGCTAAGTCAAAGAACGTGTGCATTTTTTATTGTTGTAGCAAATGTCAGATTGTTCTCCAGACAGAATGTGCTAGTTTATTTTCCTCCCAGTCAGTTACAAAAGTACCTTTTTCCCATCCTCACCAGAAGTTGGTATCATCAAACATTTTCTTTTTCACCAATCTAAAAAATGGAAAATGAAGTCCCATTTTTGACTTGTGTAAAGAAATTTTTTCGTTTTCTTCTTTTATTTTTCCAACTGCTAAGTCTATTAATGAAAATTACATGTAATAATTTTTGTTTCTTTAAATATGTTGGTATTCCTTGCGATGACAAGACCTGAAGCTCTACCAAAAATTATCGTACATGTTTGGCAAGATGTTAAATTTGTGGGAGTTTAATTAACTACCTTTGAGTCAAAGAGAATTTTGGTCTCTGTTCCTGGATCCGATTCAGAACATCTGGTAAAGATAGCGTAAGTGACAGCCAAGAGAATAGCCAGATGTTTCCTTGTGGCCCTGGATCTTCCCTGAGAGAACAGGCTGAATTCATTGAGCAGCTTCATGTACTCAAAAATTGACTGTCTTGCAAGATTATTTCCCAACACCATAGTAGTCCGCTGGGAAGGAATGAGACTTTAGGCAGCAAGAACATGTTCTGTTTGGCCTCTGTATTTGGGTTTGTTCTGTTCCAGGTCGTGCAGTAAACTCAGTACAGCATGTAGCCTCTGAAGCTCCAGTGTGACTTTCTGTTCTTAGAAAACCTCCAGAGGGGAGGAAGCAAGGATTATTCCATAAAAGTGGGGAAGGAAGACAGACTGCTAGTCTGCTTATGGAATCCCTTCTCTGACTTTCCTTTGTGACTCCCAGAACACATGCTGATTCCGTTAGTAATTGATTGTCCAATTCTAAGCTGTCATCACCCCTGAAATCCTTCTTGATTAGATGAAAGTGGCATACATAATTCTCCAAATTATGTCATAAACTCAGGAATGTCCTATGTTCTTTTTCCCTAAATGGTTTGTTTCTTACTCTCCCTTCCTCTTTTTCTCTATTCCACACATGCTTCCTGTCTCTAAATCCACCCACGCACAACCCTTGGCCTGCCCCAGTCTCTCCTGCAAAAATTTATAAAAACCAGAATGTAGGGGGCCGGCCCGGTGGCCTAGTGATAAAGTTTTCATGTTCCACTTCGGCGGCCTGGGGTTCGCGGGTTCAGATCCCAGGCACGGACCTACACACCACTCATCAAGCCATTCTGTGGTGGCATCCCACATATAAAACAGAGGAAGATTGGCACAGATTTTAGGTCAAGGACAATCTTCCTCAAGCAAAAAGAGGAAGATTGGCAACAGATGTTAGCTCAGGACCAATCTTGCTCACCAAAACAAAATAAAACAAAACAAAACAAAAAAAATCCAGAATATGATAATCAAGAGAGTTTGTAAAGCAAAATTTTTTGGTAAAGATTTTAAAGGAGGTAACTTGATATCTCCAGCACAATTGATTAGACGCCCTATCTTTTGGCGTTATTGATGGGGAAAAAAAGAACCTTTAAAGATGCCTCTGGTCCTGTGACTGTACAGTGTTTTGTAGTGATCCTTTTTGGAGTTTTCCCTCACAAAGACTTTCTCTAGGAGTCCTGTGGGGCTGAGAGAAGCCCAGTCTTTTGAAGCACTGATTCTGCTAGGAGAATGCTTGGTGCATGGCAGACACTCAGGAAATACTTGCTGAATGATTGGCTGTTGCAACCGCTCATAAATATCTGATAATATTCCTTGGCTTTGCCTGCCTTGAACACATAGTAGGTATTGAATAAATGTTGATTGAGTAAAAGAATCTGATAAACAAAGATTTTTAAGATGTAAAAACTTAATATACACTCCTTAGAAGGGACAATTTCTGAATGTGACACCAAATGTTCCCGAGTTACTTCTGCCAGGAACAGAATTAAGTGTAAAAATCATGTGAAGTGGAAGAATTTTAAAATATTTTGTATAATGAACTGAATGAATTTTTATAGAACAATAAAAGCTTAGAACAATATAGAACAATAAAAGCTTAATCCATGTCTATTATGTTGACAGCTAATCTGAATTTTTGAATATTTTAAAGAAGACCTAATTAATTTAAATAATGTAACTCAAGCCAGGTTAATGAAGTTTTGCCTAGTAGATAACCTGCTTTATTGAGTAAGTAAGAATGGTTGCTAGGTAAATGCTACTTTTAAATGTTTAAAACATTGAGGGCCGGCCCCGTGGCTTAGCTGTTAAGTGCGCGCACTCCGCTACTGGCGGCCCCGGTTCAGATCCCGGATGCGCACCAACGCACCACTTCTCTGGCCATGCTGAGGCGGCATCCCACATACAGCAACTAGAAGGATGTGCAACTATGACGTACAACTATCTACTGGGGCTTTGAGGGGAAAAAAAAAAGGAGGAGGATTGGCAATAGATGTTAGCTCAGAGCCGGTCTTGCTCAGCAAAAAGAGGAGGATTAGCACGGATGTTAGCATAGGGCTGATCTTCCTCACAAAAAAAATAAATAAATAAATAAAAATTTTAAAACATTGAAAGATATAAACATCTTTACAGCATCCTGCAAAATCATTTCATCCATTAAATTTAGGACTTTGGTGTCTGGCTTGAAGCCCACCACTTTTTTGAAGACATCTGCTTCCTAAACTGAAGTCCCCAACCTCCCTTGATATTTCAACAACACATTACTTCTGCTTCTCTTTTAGCACTTATTTTATCCTGCTTTGTATTATAGCTGTTTGTATTTAAAAGGTCTCTTTGGATGGAGATTGTGTCTTATTTGTTCTCGCATCTCCCTTTGTACCCAGCACAGTGAACCTTTTAGGCACTCAATAAATGAGGAACTGAAATATATTGTACTCTGAAACCAGAGCAGAAGTTAATAGATATTTTTGTCAGTGTAGTGAATGGTTATGGTATCTAAGCCTGCGTTAGTTACTATGGTAGCTGGACATGAAGGGATTATAGAACACGGCTCCTACCCCTTAAGAAAGTCTCCTAGTTGAGGGGAAGGGGGGGCTCCCTTGGATAAAATGGATGATGCTGACTGCTAATCAGTGTGGAACCAACTCTTATTGTAATCAGAATTATGGAGGAGACATCAGTGTTGAACAGAGTGGTGGTTCTTACAAATGATGCTTTTTATCCTTTAATTTTTTTTGTCTAATATCTTAGTAATAGAGAAAAGTTGGAACTGTACTGTATTTTCTCTATTCATCACTATTTAAATGAAATAGAATTTCTCTCACAATAGAATTTTTAAATAAGTTGCTAATTTCTGTATTCATGAGAAATCTGTTTTTAAGAAATTATCTTGCCCTTCACCCATTGAGAAAAAATAGGGTTTGTATTAGTTTTCTATTGTTGCCATAGTAAATTACCATAACTTAGTGGCCTAAAACAACATAAATTTATTATCTTACAGTTCTGTATGTTAAACACAGTCTCACTGGAGTGAAATTAAGATGTTGGTAGGGCTGCATTTCTATGTGAAGTCTCTACGGGAGAATCTATTTCCTGCTTATTTGAGTTGTTGGCAGAATTTAGTTCCTTTCGGTTGTAGGATGAGGTTCCCATTTTCCTGCTGGCTGTCAGCTAAAGGCCATTCCCAGCTTTTGCAGCAGCCCACATCCCTTGACTCATGGCCTCCTACCTCCATCTTCAAAGCCAACAACAGTGGGTCAAATCCTTTTTAAGTCACATCTCTCTGATCCACTTTTCTGCCTTCCTCTTCCACTTTTAAGAACTCATGTGATTAGATGAACACACCTGGATAATTCAGGATTATCTCCCCATCTCAAGGTCCTTAACCTTAATCACATCAGCAAAGTCCCTTGTGCCATGTGAGGTAACATATCCACAGATTCCAGAGATTAGGACGTGGACATCTTTGGGGGCCATTAGTCTGCCTACCACAGGGCCTGGCTTATTTTGTCTTATGTCCTTATTCTACCTTACTGATCCAATGACTTGAACCTGTATCTAGTTATAGAGAAATTTATGGAGGGAACATATAAACTTGTAAAGCATACCATTTCTTTTTTTTTTTTTCCCCCAAAAGCCCCAGTAGATAGTTGTATGTCATAGCTGCACATCCTTCTAGTTGCTGTATGTGGGACGCGGCCTCAGCATGGCCAGAGAAGCGGTGCATCAGTGCACGCCCGGGATCTGAACCCTGGCTGCCAACAGCGGAGCACGTGCACTTAACCACTAAGCCACGGGGCTGGCCCAGGCATAGCATTTCTATCCAATATGATTTTTACTTGAACATAGGAAAGAATAATTACTTGTAATAAATCTTTCGTCTCACTGTGGAGGAGGTTGGATTTGGGCTTGATTTTTGAAAGCGGGGTGAGATTTGAGAGGTGTGATAGGTGGGCAGGAGAGCCTTCTAGCTGAGAGGAAAAAGAGAGATGAAGGCACAGAGATGGGAATGAGCGTGGCAAGGTCAAAATCTGGTCTAATCTTGACCATCTCTGCTCACATTTCTCCCTTACCCTCTTTGTTCCTGTTCTTCCTGTTCTCTCTCTGCCTGTCAAATCCTCTGCACCTTCAGAGCCACTTCCTTCATGACACCTCCCTCAGTCTCCTCAGTCAGGTGAACAGTGTCTTCCTCTGCATCCATCGTACTTTGCTCGTGGCTCTATGTAGGTACTTACTGCGTTTTGATTTGTTTTGTTGGTCAATTGCTTTATTGTTTATTTCTCCAATTAGATTGTACATTATTTAGGATAGGGACTATTTTTTTCCCTCATTTTTCTTTTTCCATACTATTTAGCCAGAAATAATGGACTTAGCAAGAAGTAAGGATTGATTTAGAAGAAAGTTGACAGTGGACTAAAATGTGACAATACTGACACCAGGAAGGACAACTTCCAGGTTTACTGAGCAAATATTGTTTGCTCAGTAAATATTTGTGGAAGAGTGTGAGGAGTGTGGCTCATCTGAAAGCAGAGGGCGGGCACCAGACGAAGAAGGAGTTGTTTTCCGAGGATGGGTAACAGAGGCTGCTGGAAATCAGGCAGAGGCATCATGACTTGATATAAGTAAGAAGAAACAATTGTGGATTTTGTGAGATGATGACAGCAGTGCTGTGGGAAGGTTGGTTTGGTGGTGGTGGACTGGGCAGGGGAGAGAAGAGCTTGAGAGGTCAGTTTGGGAGGTTGCTAAAGGCACAGGTGTGGAATGATGCCAAGCTGGACTAGGATAGTGGCAGTGACACTGCGAGGAAACTGCTACGTTGAGGAACATCTTGAAATAAGACTTGGAAATCGAGGATAAAGGAAAGGGAAAGTTATGTCTCACCTACAACATGAGAAGAATTTTACGTCTGCTGACGGACATAGCAGAGCTGAAGATAAGAAGTCAGTGTGAGAGGTGACAAGCAGTTTGGGACAAGATGAATTAGAGATAACAAACCATGGAAATGTCCTGTTCATGGCTGGAAATGTACAACCCGAGTGCAGCAGAGTGAGCGCGGAGAGCTGTAGGTGTGCGGGCCGTCTGCAGGGGCAGGTAGAGCCACAAGGAGTTCCCTAAAGGAGTGAGTGTTGAATTGGAGCCATGCCTATCAATGACAACAGTTCAAGTCTGTGGACACAAAGAGGCGTGTGATTGCCAGGGCTCCTGGTAAGGGAATGCCTTTCACATGATCAGGTTCCCATGAGTTTCTTCTTTAGAATCGTGCTGCAGGTAAAAGGCACCGTCGGCAGTCTGCCCACGCTCTTCGTCCTCACCTTCATTTGCTTATTCTCTAGTGTGGCATATGAAGAATCTAGTTGTTCTCTTCTTCGGTGGTTCGTGTTTTAGGCCTTTGTTCCCTCCGTAAACATCTGGTGGGGAGGAAAGAAGGATTTTCTCTTGTCCATATGATGTAATGTCTGATGCTGAATTTCTGAAAATGGCTTTTGTTGAGGGATTGTGCCAAAAGAGAACTAGGTCCTAATTGGAACAAGCTTTTCTTCTCTGGGAATTGGCTCCGAGATGTTAAGAATTCGTACTCCTTTAGGACAAAAACTATTTACATGATATACAGGAAGAAGACTTCAGCTGGGCCGTGACAGGGCTGTTTGGGACATTTTTTTTTTTTTTTGTGAGGAAGATTAGCCCTGAGCTAACATCCATGCTAATCCTCCTCTTTTTGCTGAGGAAGACCGGCTCTGATAACATCTATTGCCAATCCTCCTCCTCCTTTTTTTTTTTTTCCCTAAAGCCCCAGTAGATAGTTATGTCATAGTTGCACATCCTTCTAGTTGCTGTACGTGGGACGCGGCCTCAGCCTGGCCGGAGAAGCGGTGCGTCAGTGCATGCCCGGGATCCGAACCCGGGCCGCCAGTAGCGGAGCACGTGCACTTAACCGCTAAGCCACGGGAGCCACCTGGGACATTTTTAATAAACCTCTGAGTGTTTGGTCTTCCTGCGAGTTGTAACTTGCCTTAGGTACTTGGTTTAAAATAAACTTTGGGATGAGATAAAAAAAGAACTCTGGGGATGGGTGTAAAGTAACAATTCCAAACTGTCTTGACATACTGAAGTAAAAATGGATGCATGTAATTCAGTTTTACCTTCTACACAAAATCATGATACAAAGGAAAAAGAGAGACATAGGCTGAGGCCAAAAAGAATACATTATAATTTATCCAGAGGCCTATATTACCTAAAACAGTAACAAGTAATAAAAAAGTTTTGTTATTTACATTAAATCTCCTGTTTTTCTTTTTTTCTATTTTTTATTTAGGATGTGTGTCCTTCACACATTTATTTGCTCAACCAGTGTTTGAGTGTACTCTGTGTGTAGAGCACTGGGCCAGGCAGCGGGTGGGGATGTCAACCAAGGTGAATGGGGCCCAGTCCAGGCCCTCAAGGAGTTCACAGTCTAGTAGGGGGTTAGGTAGGTCTGTCAATACTTACACTACCAGAGAGAAAGTGATAAATGTCTTAACAATACAGATAAGGAATAGTTGAGGCCCCAGAAGGCACCACTTGAGAATGGTAGAGGGAGGGAACCAAACAAGACTTAACGAAAGGGATGAAAGTTGAGCTGGGCTTTGAAAAATAAGTAGGATTTGCAGACACAGTGCCTCAACTTTAATGAACACCTGCTACATGACAAGCTTTGTTATAGATGTTGTGAATACATTGTTTCTCCTGTAGAACAGTGGTGGCATGAAGGAGAACGTGGTTCATTCTGTGGAATGGGGGGCGTCACTCAAATGTAGGAGATGCCACAGCAGTAGTCATTTGTGAGCTGAATCTTGAAAGAAGAATAGGTGGCTATTTGCTGGGTGAATAAGGAAGAAGGGTATTCCAGGATGTAGGAACAACATCAGCAAAGGGAAGGGGTCATGAGTCACCCAGTACATTGGAGAAATTGTAAGTAATTCAGTACGATTGGAGAGTTGCGGGGAGAGAGGAGGCTGGAAAGATAGGGAAGGTCCAGATTGTGGAAGGCCTGGTGCGCCTCCCAAGGCCATTGTGCCAGGAAGTGGTGCAGTTAATGCATCTTGGAAAGGCCATTTGGGCAGCTGTGTGTGGGGGTGGCGGTTTAGGTTGGGGATGTGGAAGACTGGCAACAAGAATTCGGTTCCTGATTGGATATGAAGAAGGAGTCTAGAAAATAACTTCTAGGTTTCTGACTTGGTTGATTGACTCAGTGGATGGTGGTGTCTCCCCAGTAGAGAACAGGAGAGGGATTGACTCCTGCCCATTTGGATCTTGGCGCTAATTTGGAGCTGTCCTTCTGGGAGTTGGATATTTGGATCTGAGGCCCAGGAACAGGGTTGAGGTTGGAAGTAAGGCAAGAGATATAAGATATCAAAGCAAGAACGTTTATGGTATCTGCAGAAAACCTCAGCATGGTGTAGATGGATCATAGTGAAGAGAAAGCAAGGGAGATAAACTGAAAGCCCAGGTGAGGAAGAGCTCCCAAGTTTGGCATTAATTCATAAACAATATTTTTTCCATGTACGTACTTTCTGAAGGAAATAAGGAAACCCTACCTGAATATTTCACCCCATTTAATGTTTAATGGCAAATGTAGAACTGCATCCAGTGGGTTCATTTATAAATGTGATGAGCACAGCCAACCTGACACCACTCTCCTTCCAGCTGCTCTGCAGAGTCAGGCCAGTGCGCGTGTCGACCCCACATGATCGGACGTCAGTGCAACGAAGTGGAATCTGGTTATTACTTTACCACCTTGGACCACTACATCTATGAAGCAGAAGAAGCCAACTTTGGGCCTGTAAGTAGGGGGGGTGCTAGGCAGGTTGGTACAGCAGTGTTGGGGGGCAATAATGGCATATACACATTTTGTCAGTGAACACAAGGTAAGGATCAGGACCATGACTTCTTGGGAACAGTCATATTTAAAGCTAAATAAATCTATAACTCACAGAGAGAGTTTGGAACGTTCACTAATAAGACTTTTGGTGTTTTGGTTTTTTTCTTCTTCTATTCTTCTCTCTACTTATGCTCTCAAGTTATTGTTGATCTAGTATAGTAAATACTCAGAGAGGATACTGTTTCGGTTTTCTATTGCTGTGTAACAAGCCATCCCAAAATTTAGAGGCTTAAAATGTATGTCTGGTACTTCAGCTGGGATGGCTGAAACAGCTGGAGGCTGGCTATCATTTTTCTCCACATGACCTCTCCAGGCAGCTGTCTTGAGCTTCCTCACAGCATGGCGGAGTCAGGGTAGTGGGACTTCTTACATGGCATGTGGCTTCCAAGAAGGAGGAAACAGAAATGGCCAGGTCTCTTAAAGCCTGGGCTCAGAAGTCCCAGAATGTCATTTTCTCACATTTTCTTGGTCACAAGTCACAAGGCCAGACCAGATTCGAGGGCAGAGTGGCATAGTTTCCGCCTCTTATTGGGGAAAGCCGCACACACGTGCATACAGGGAATGAAGGACTTCATCTTTGGAGACGACTAATCACAGGTATTATATATAATCCTGTGAACAAACTCAAATGCATGCTTGAGTTAAGCACCTCAAATGGGTCAATTCTCCAGTCGCAGTGACAGTCAGAATTAACTCATCCTGTAGTGAACATTCATGATTGTATCAAGTTCTTCCCTTGTACTTGGACCTTGAAGTCAATGCCAATGAGACAGAAGTACGTCCACTAGATATAGGACTAGGCTTGTAGAAAATCTGGGACATTTTCGTCCCTCCTAGGTGCTTATCACAGCATGTGGGATGTTCTCTTTCCTTTATGCTCATTCCCCTGGTTATATCATAGAAGGTGTATCCTAAGCCTTTGAGTCTCATCTCCAATGTCCCAAGACTACTTCAACCACAAAATTAAACAGGAACCAATTTCCTGTTTATATATCAAAAACTTTTTACAGTCTACTGAGAAAATGTGGCTGTAAAAAGTACATATAAGATAGCCACAGTTCTGGAGCTTTGAGTGACTTTGGATTTCTTTGACTGTAACGTTTGATTGAATTCCATTTCAAGTAAAGCATAACTCCTGTGCCCCATGTCCTCAGGGAGTCAGCATAGTGGAGCGGCAGTATGTCCAGGACCGGATTCCTTCCTGGACTGGATCGGGCTTCGTCCGAGTGCCCGAAGGGGCTTATTTGGAGTTTTTCATTGACAACATACCATACTCCATGGAGTACGACATCCTAATTCGCTATGAGCCGCAGGTAAACACTCGGTGAACTCTTGGGGGTGGGGAAGGTATTGGTAAAAAAATCTTCTAATGGACGCTATGTTCTTGTGAATTTAGAAGTCGTGTTGGAATAGAGGAGCCTCTCTCTGACTTTCTATCCTCCATGGAAGTGGAAATGAACATTTTTCGTGAATTATTTCATAAACATTTAGTAATCTCTCATTAGGCACTTAGCCTTGCTGAGAACTGAGGTGGTGATGAGAATGTATCAGATCCTCTCCTTGCCCTCGCGGCCTGCACTGCCCGGGGACGGGCGCGTGTCCCTCGCTGTAGTAAAAGGCCAGAGGTGGAAAGTGTAAGAGCAGAGATACAAACAATGCTGGAAGATGGAAAGGTTCCTACCAGCCAGGCTGGGCTAGAGGCTACCAAAATGTTTCATAAAAATCAGATCTAGGCCTTAACATGGCGATGGAATTTTGCCACCAAAGGAAGTGAAGGAATAGCATGAGCAGAGAGGAGGAGCATGTTTTGAGAGTCATCCCACATAGCTAGGTAAAGGATATAGTTGGAGATGCTGTTAGGAGAAATGCTAGGATCAGGAAAGGAACTTGTACTCTATATTAACAGGCAGCTACTGAAGGGTTTTGAGCAGGGGATTGTCATTATCTGAGCTGTGTTCTACGATGGATGGAAAGGGACGTAGGGAGAGGCAGGGAGAGAAGCTGGGAGGCTGTTTTGGTGTCCAGGTGAGAAGGGATTAGGGCTGGCACTGGGGCAGTAGCAGAGGAAATGGTGAAGAACGAAGGGAAAAGCAAGCGTTTTCCATTTAAACTTGGCAAATGATGATCGGGAGGGGTCTTTATAAACAGATGGGCGGCGCTGGGCCAGGGTGCACGGTCCTTTGGATTGTTTGTTTCTTATTCTAGCTACCTGACCACTGGGAGAAAGCTGTCATCACAGTGCAGCGACCCGGAAAGATTGTAGCCAGCAGCCGATGTGGTAATACCGTTCCTGACGATGACAACCAGGTGGTGTCCTTATCGCCAGGCTCCAGGTCAGTGTGACAGTGGTTTGTGGCTCCACAGAACAAATATGCAAATTAAAGTTTTTCCTGGTATCTTGCCTTGTGAGCCAAACACTGACTGTTGACTTTCTTCCTTTGGAATGATCTACATAGAGCTGTGATTGATTGATTGGTTGATTGATTGGATACTTAAAGGTTGACTTTTTGTCGCTGTTTTTCTTTTGTTTGGGGGCAGGTATGTGGTCCTTCCACGCCCCGTCTGCTTTGAGAAGGGTGTGAACTACACAGTGAGGTTAGAGCTGCCTCAGTACACCTCCTCCCATAGCGACGTGGAGAGTCCCTACACGCTCATCGATTCAGTAAGTGGAAGGCCGTTTCTGACACGAGCAGAGAAGGCTGGGCAGAAAGTGTCCGTGTGCTTCCCCAGAGGGTTTGTGGAGGGGTAATGCTGAGAGGTTAGACAGAATCATTCTTTCTTGCCTCCAAGGCCACTTTGCTTATTTATTTTAATAAAACTTCACCTTCTGGAAAGGATTTACTGAAGCTGATTCTTTCTGAAGTGCCTTAAAAATGACATCTCAAAAACCATCAAACTATGTAAGATCTATCTAAACTTTTTCTGGCAAGAATATTTTAAGAATGGAAGGTTTTCACTTTATTGAATGAGTCTGATTTTTTTCTTTTCAAGAGTCAAGCATTTGGGGTTTTTATGTCTACTTGCTGTAATTGATGACACGGACACCACTGTGAGGACAGTTTGCTGCTCTTGTTTCTTTATAGCTTGTTCTCATGCCGTTCTGTAAGTCACTGGACATCTTCACTGTGGGAGGTTCCGGAGATGGGCTGGTCACCAACAGTGCCTGGGAGACCTTTCAGAGATACCGATGTCTGGAGAATAGCAGAAGTGTCGTGAAAACGCCAATGACCGACGTTTGCAGAAACATCATCTTTAGCATTTCTGCCCTGTTACACCAGACTGGCCTGGGTAGGTGTTAGTGCACCTGGCATCTCTGGGGGCGCATTGGGAGGCACGCCCCACAGCTCTGTGTTAGGCAGTCAGCACAAAGGAAATGGTGTCTCAACTACAGTTTGTCTTTATTTTTTTTTTTAAGACTATTTTAGTGATAGAGCACCACTGAAAATGCTGTCAATCGATATTCAAGAAATACACCACAGGTGACTAGGGGAGAAGTCGTGAGGATACAGCATTTCCATAGGCAGCGTGGGGATTGGGATGGAATCAGAGGAGCATCCCATAACTGAAATTTGTTTTTCTCTTGGAAAGGTCAGACCAACCCCTGGAGGTTACTAAGCTTTTGTCTAAGGTCTTGCAATATTTGAGCTGTGAAGGCGAGGGGAGAAAACCTTAATGACCTCCTTCCTAGAAAAACTGCTTTTATCTGCCAACTCTGTTTGCTGTTGCTTCCCTCCCGCTCCTCGTGGGGACAATATTGTTTAAAGTGGGAATTCTGAATAAGCCAAGGTAGTAAAGAGGAAGAATCTGGGGGGGGGAGGCCAAGGAAAAGGACAGAGCCAGTGTGACGTGCTGCACTTGTTTCTTTGGGGGCAGCGGCAGCTCCGTGTCACAGGTTCTGGCCTCTCTTTCCCCTGCAGCTTGTGAATGCGACCCTCAGGGCTCGTTGAGTTCCGTCTGTGACCCCAATGGAGGCCAGTGCCAGTGCCGGCCGAACGTGGTTGGAAGAACCTGCGACAGATGTGCTCCTGGAACCTTTGGCTTTGGTCCCAGTGGATGCAAACGTAGGTCAATAGAAGAGTTGTCACGTATTCATTCAGATCATCTGAGAAATACTGGTGTGGGTTCCACAGCTATAGAAGGCAATGCTTCACTCTGGAAATTGATCACGGGAGCCCCTGAGCATTCTGAACTGGGCATGGGGGTGCTTGTAGAAGGGGTGTGTTTGCATTTAGTGAGTTTCTCAAGGTGGTTCCTCGGTTGCCTATTTCTGCAGCTTGTGAGTGCCATCTGCAAGGATCTGTCAACGCTTTCTGTGATCCCATCACTGGCCAGTGCCACTGTTTCCAGGGGGTGTACACTCGGCAGTGTGACCGGTGCTTACCCGGGCACTGGGGCTTTCCAAGTTGCCAGTCCTGCCAGTGCAACGGCCATGCCGATGACTGTGACTCAGTAACAGGAGAATGCTTGAGCTGCCAGGACTACACCACGGGTCATAACTGTGAAAGGTACGTGGATGCCGCCTCTTGAAAATAACAACAAGATCATTTTTAGCTGAGCAAACAGCATCTTAGACCACTGAATGAATCTCTACCAGGGTCCAGATGGCTCATTCATTTCTGACCACCTGGGTATTTTCTAGGAAATCCTTCATTTATCTGGTCTATATTTAGTTCACACCTTCTGTGTGCCAGGCATGTTCTGGTGCTGGGGATACGGCAGAGAACAAAGCCTACATGAACCTGCCCTCTTGGAGAATCATCCTAGAGGTGACCGTAGATCTGTACAGAAATCATCTCTCTGTCTCAGCGGATTCTGGCCTAGGATGAGAATTGTGAAATGTTAATTCCTAATTTGGATCAAAGTAGAAACCGAATCCAAATGGGATTAGTCATTTTAAATAGCTTTGTTTTTCTAAACATTTTATGCAGCAACAGTTTCCAGGAGACCATGTGCAAAAGTAGATCTGGTCTCCAGCTAGCAAATGTTAATTGAGTAATTATTATGGATGCAAAGATCTGCACCAGATATAGTCAGAATAGAATGTGCTGCTAATAACGTTACAGCCTAGCTCAGTTATATAAGAAATATTCCATATGAGAAAATTACATGCTGACTTATAGTGTTCATTACTAACTAAGAAAGACAACATGCTATTAGAACCTGCTTTTTTTTGAAGTACTAGTCTCTACCTTTCAGGTCAATAAATTTTTTCTCTTCTAGTATCCATCCACTCTACATAGGATTTTTTGTTTTAAAAATTTCAGCAAGTGCTTCAGTCAGTACAAAAGTTGCTCATCAGATGAAAGAGAAATTGTTAGTGAAAACTGAATATGTGATTAACTTATGGCATGAAGATGTACATAGGAGCAAATATGTGGCTCTTGGCTCTATGCTAGAGTGGTATTCTACAATTTGAAGGCTCCAGTGACTCCTCCTTTGAGTAAAAGTTATTCCTTCCAACCACAGAATTGTGTTGTAAAAAGATAACAAGGAAACAGTTATACAAGATTGAAAGGAAGAAATTAACATATTGGTGTCATCTTTTGTTTTCTGCATTAATTTTTTCGTTATTGTTCTTTCAATGGGAGATGGAGAATAAGTCCGAGAGAAAGAGACTGATGAGAAAATCAAGTGAAAAAGAAGAGAGTTGGGTGGGGACACGTGAACGCGTGGTTGTCCACGGTGCCAATTTGAAATCAAGCATACCGTGCAATGTGTTTGCAAGAACATCCTGTGAGAATGGCTTGGTTGATATCTGAGACTGGTGTGGGATTTTATTTGTAAAGCGTTTTGATTTCTTGCAGGAGAGTGAGAGAGGGTGTGGGAGGAGGAAAGATTTTCAGCCTTAGTTTGGATGGCAAAACTTTATTAAATATTTGAGAATCTGCTGTCTAGTTTGAGCCAATTTCTCATCATTCTTTTTCTCATTCCAAGACGATCAGAGTTTCAATCCTGTAAATTTAAAAAGAAGCTGTAGGCTCAGATTCCCGAGGGTGGAAGCAAAGGGGGAGGCAGGAAATGAACGCTCAATTTCTATCATGATGTATTTGTATTTATTTCACCTAGAAAAGCCTCATAGAAAACTTGCTCAGAAACCATTATTCAAAATTACTTCATCACTGCCGATTTCCCTGGCATGTAATTGGGGAACATGTTGTTATATTATGTCTGTGTCTAATTAAGTAGAAGGTTAATTTCCTCGGAACAACTTTCCCCTTCTATTGCTTCATCCTACCGCCTCCCCATTAAAAAAGAAATTACCTCTGCCTCAAAAAAAAAGCCATGAAAAACAAACTGAATTGGAAATCCTTAGACCGAGTTCTAGGCCCAATTCTGCTTCTTTTATTTATTTATTTTTTTGAGGAAGATTGGCCCTGAGCTAACATCTGTTGTCAGTCTTCCTCCTTTTTTCCTTTTCTCCCCCTAAAGCCCTAGTAGATAGTTGTATGTCATATGTTGTACATCTTTCTAGTTGCTCTATGTGGGATGCCGCCTCAGCATGGCTTGATGAGTGGTGTGTGGGTCCGCGCCCAGGATCCGAACTGGCGAACCCTGAGCTGCTGAAGTGGAGTGCATGAACTTAACCACTACGCCACTGGGCTGCTCCCCCGCCCCCAATTCTGCTTCTAACCTGCTTTGTAACCTTGGGGAGTTAGCTCATCTCTCCGAGTATCCAGCTTCCTGTTAGTAGAGTAACTAGGTTGGATTAGATGATCTCCAAAGTTCCTTCAAGCTTTTATGTTGTAGGAAGTAAAAAACTAACTTAATTACCATTCATGTGGAAAAGCAGCATGATATAGTAAAAGAATTCTTTGCTAAAAGTCAGGAGGCTGAATTCAAACCCTGCTTCATGACTAACTAGTTGTGCAAGCCTTGCAAATCATTTAACCTCCGAGGATTCCTTATCTGTGAGGAGAGGAGTTGGGACCTGTTGGGTTTGCGAGTTGGTAAATAATATCCTTCAGTCCTTTGAAACCACCAGAGAGACACGCAAAAGTCCTGCAGCTGGAGAGCATCCTTATCAGTTTTATTACTGGTAAAGGCTGGAGTGCAGAACATGCCACCGTGGGCTTGCTAACACATCACCCCTCCCAGGCATAGGCAGAGACACACAACCACAAGCCCTCATCCCCCGCCCCCCACCCCCAAACCCCCACCCCCCAGATTCCTTAATACAAGGAGGGAGCCGACGAGAATGCTCAGGGCAGGCAGGCAGCTGATAGGACAATAGGGTGCACATGGGGAGAGGAGGCAGTGAGGGTCCAAGTGAGGCCAGGGGTGTCCCCCTACTGCAGTGGCCCTGCAAGTGTGATCCCCAGACCAGCAGCCGCAGCATCACCTGAGACCTACTAAATCAGAAAGGGGGGGAGGAGCCCAGCATTCCCTCGGGGGCATTCTGATTGGAGCTAATGTTTACAAACAACTGCTCTAATGGAAAGTCCTTGCTGTGGAAACATGAGGAGTGGGGAACGAATGTTCCCAAACAGAAAACACAGTTTTTAAGACTTCCTGTGACAGGTTTCTCACAACTGGTTCACGACCCTCTCTTTTCTGTGACTGGTGTAGGTGCTTGGCTGGTTACTACGGTGATCCCATCATTGGGTCAGGAGATCACTGCCGCCCTTGTCCTTGCCCAGATGGCCCCGACAGTGGACGCCAGTTTGCCAGTAGCTGTTACCAAGATCCTGTTACTTTACAGCTTGAGTGTGTCTGTAATCCTGGATACATTGGTAAGTAATGTGTAGACTCTTGGAGGAAAAGATGTGTCTTTACGAGTTTAGTTGTTAATGAAGAAAAAAGATGAAGAGTGAGCCAATTTAGTTTCATTTTTATAATCCTTAATTAAAAGTGAAAGGAATGTGAAATCTAAAAGATGCTCTTTTCCTGTTTGGCAGGTGGTGGAGTCAATTCTTGAGTCTCTGTGATGCTAATGTTGTAATACAGAGCAGGATAGCAAGCTCATTTAAATCCATAAATGAAACCTGGTGAACACTTCTCTGTTATTAAGCAGTGGAAAGATTAATTTACATTTTACTTCTCTCTTCCCTTATCCAGCTCCTAGCAGAAGAGTCTCAAGGCAGTGAAGTGGCTGAATGGTGGACAGAGGGAAGAAAAGAGTACAATCTAGGGAGTCCCCAGATAACTGAATCAGTCAAAGCTAGATCTCTTCCTTATTGTTTATCATACATTATCTGTCAACACTTAGGGAATGTAGCTAGTTGTAAAAATAAACTCCCTTTTATTTTATCCTTGATGCCACCGTTTCACATACTAGTTATGCTTATCCATAGCTCAGTAAATATTTGCATGCAGTTTCAGGATTTTTCAGAAAAGGAAATTGGTCATCATTAAGGAGCCCACTTTTCATGTTGCTCATGCAGGAGCGGTGATTTTTCAGTTCATGTCATCCTTGGATTAGGATTTAACAGCAAGCCGAGCTTGACGCTGTTAGAACATTATTTAGCTCCTAATCTGCCCCATCCTTGGATAATGAGAAGCTGCAGTCTCACGTGCTAGAGCTCTTCTAACTGTCCATGCCCCACTCATAGCCAGGCTGCAGCAGTGCTGCGCTCCAGACGACAAAATACTTCTTTCTCCTCACAACTAAAAGCCCATTTTTGCCCCAAAGATATGGTCATCCCAGGGGGTAACTAGAGCAGTGAGAAGGGCAGTGCTGCCTGGGTTGGCTCTCCAGGCAGGAGTGTGGGTGGATGAGACCTTTCGGTCAGCAAGCTGAAGGTATTATGCTTGGTTCTGTTGGATGATAGGCTCCAGATGCGACGACTGTGCCGCAGGCTTCTTTGGCAATCCCTCGGACGTAGGGGGGACATGTCAGCCTTGTCAGTGTCACCACAACATTGACACGACAGACCCAGAAGCCTGTGACAAGGAGACCGGGAGGTGCCTCAAGTGCCTGTACCACACGGAAGGGGAGCACTGCCAGCTCTGCCGATTCGGGTACTACGGAGACGCCCTCCGGCAGGAATGTCGAAGTAAGATGCGGAGTCATTGTGCCCGCTCATTACAGTGATTTCCACCGTCTTCATATTCGGGGGGTTTTATTCTTCCCATCGTTATTTCCTTTGGGAAAACACTTGTTCAGAGAGAGAAAATTTCACTTTTGACTACAGAAAGATGAGACCAATCGTTTTTTTTCTTTACATCCTCATTTTCTGGCAGGACTGAAGTCTCAAGATGTGGCTCAGTGCCTGAGAGAGATAACCAAAAGGAAAAACTATGTAGCTGTCACCATGATAAATGCCATCCAATAAAGTATATTGATTTTATGTTCTGCTCATGAACTTGCTGGTTAGCTGGGACTTATCGATCCTAAATACCCACTCTGGACGTTCCTTATGTCATGGATGGATAGAGCCTTCCAGCTTAAGGAAAAGAAAGAAGTAACATCTCTAAAGTCTGTCTTTCAGAACTCGTTATTTCTCTTTTATCAAGAGATCAGGCAGTGTTTCCTGCTGCTGCGCACAGCCCCCTGGCCCCTGTCTTTGTTTATACAAACATGAGTGGAATGTTCAGGGCCAGTAGGACTGGATTCCTTAAAGCCTTACGGGCTTAAAGGGCTTCTACCTGCTTTGTCTGACACAGCCATTACTGCTGTTCCCTGCCACGAGTTGGAGTTGGAAATCATGAGATATCTCAACTCCCATGGCATGTTTTTTATTTCCAATTAAATCCTCAGTTTTAAAATGATTCACCAACAGCTTATTAAAACTGAGTATTTTGGAAATACTGCTAGGCAAAATGTGTCTTGCGTGTCTGGGACATGTCGGAACCACGTAGAACATTTTAAGAACTTCTGAAGAACAAGTTTTAGATTTTTTTTTTTTATCACCTCCATTTCTTTCCTTACTTGTTCGCATTTCCAGGTCAAAAGCTGGAGCGGGAAAATCTTAGCTGTTGGGATGTAGCTCGCCTTTGCATTGTCTGTATGTTTGTGAACGTGACTAAGTAAATCCGGTCGCATTGCTCTTTTTCAGAGTGCGTCTGCAATTACCTGGGCACTGTGCAGGAGCACTGTAATGGCTCTGACTGCCAGTGTGACAAAGCCACCGGTCAGTGCTTGTGTCTTCCTAATGTGATCGGGCAGAACTGTGACCGCTGCGCGCCCAACACCTGGCAGCTGGCCAGCGGGACTGGGTGTGACCCATGCAACTGCGACGCTGCTCACTCCTTTGGGCCGTCTTGTAATGAGGTGAGATGCTGTGGCGGGGGCGAGGCCATCAAGGCGTGAGGAAGGGTGCCTTTATGAGTCCAGGTGATGGCTAGCCCATTTGGTGGCTAGGCCCCAATAAGAGAGAGGCACCCGCCTCGTGGTCGCAGCCTTGCACCAGGGCACACAGCTTGGTAAACACAGCACAGACTGGATGTAAGCCCTCCCTCGGCCCCCTTGGCTGGGACTAACCTCTGTGCATAACTGTGCACAGAGGCCCCATCTGCTGCACCCAAAGCGTTTCAGGGTGGTGCCCCAGCCGCAGGTGCAGACTCACGTTGGAATGGACAAGGCTGTGCTGTTCCTCTTCAATACCTGGCTGCTGCATCAGACTTCTTTCTTAACTACACAGCCTGAAAGGAACCAAATAGCCGTAAGCAGCATTGTAAACAGTGCTGTTTCCTGACACACACACAAAAATGAAGTGCTCCCGAGGGCAGGTGAGTCACCGGTGGCCCAGACTTGTTAGTGATTTGTGAGGATAAGAGGGAGGAAACATGTAAAGAAAGTGTAACATGCTCCAGGCCTTTCCAACCCCTGGTGCAGAGGAGCAGTTAGGGGATGCTGGCATGGGGCCCTCGGCACCCAGGACGGAAGCAAGATTCCTTTTCCTGGTCAGGATGTGGAGGCCTTCTCAGGCACACAATCCAGGCCCATTTCCCCTAAGGGGCAGCTGAAAGAGAAAATGCAGACTGGTTTCTGCGCGTAGCCGCCTGACTGAGCTCTGTTTTCTGGCCGCAGTTCACGGGGCAGTGCCAGTGCATGCCTGGGTTCGGAGGCCGCACCTGCAGTGAGTGCCAGGAGCTCTTCTGGGGAGACCCCAACGTGGAGTGCCGAGGTGAGGCATTCTCGGGGGGCAGTGATTGGAGTGGAGGGAGCAGATGTCTGCAAGAGCTCTTTGTAAACCCTAAAACGCAGCATAAATTTATTTGTTTATAAGAACTCTGTGTTTAGTTACAGAAGAAATTCATGCTCATTGTTTAAAAAAACTCGAACAAAGCTGGCCCTGTGGAAGTGCAGGTAGTAAAAAGTGGACCCGCCTACTTCTCCAGCGCCTTTCCCAGGGGAAACGTGTGTCTCTGCCCAAATGCTCATATGCACCACAAATACACGCAGAATTGCTTTTGAAAATGCTTTTAACCAAAATGGGCTTATATTAACCGTATATTTCTGCGATTGATTTTTTTCCCCCTCTGAACAGTGCTTTGTAGCCAGCCTTCTTGTCAGCACATGCAGAGTTGCTCTGGTAAGAGCGTTTGAGTCCAGTGTATCAAGTAGACTCTGCTGACAGTTAAAGCCCTCAGGGTCCGTGCATTAGTGTGATGGGCCCACCGGCGGGAACTGGAGGGCGATGTCGTAGAGCCTTCATGCACAGAAAGGAACAGGTGACAGGAGCCCCAAGTCTGTTGAATGTGAGTAAAACCCAGGTTTCCCCTTAGGCTTATGATAAAATAGGACTATGAGGGAAAACTTGACTTTTTCTTAAGAACAAAACTTGTTAAAATCATGTGAATCATAAGGATTGCTTAATTTTTATGCTGTTGCAGTTTTTTTTTTTTGAAGATTGGCCCTGAGCTAACATCTGTTGCCAATCTTCCTCTTTTTTCCTTTTTCTCCCCAAAGCCCCAGTACATAGTTGTGTATCATAGTTGTAGAGTTGTAGCTCTTCTATATGGGACACTGCCTCAGCATGGCTTGATGAGCGGTGAGTAGGTCCACGCCCAGGATCTGAACCAGCGAACCCTGGGCCACCAAAGTGGAACGCGCGAACTTAACTGCTGAGCCACCAGACCAGCCCCACAATTTTTTTTTTTTGACCTGCCAGATTATTTTTCAGATCTTAAAGTGAAAGCATTTATGGAAATTTTTTTAATAGACTGTTTCTATTCTGTTTTCCTATTCTTTCTTTCCTACTTGGGTTTTCTTCCCTATGTTTTAAGTTTATAACTATGGATATAGTTAGAAGATATCTATCTTCTGTAGTTTCTTAAATTTGCTCTTTCTTATATTTTCTTTGTTGCACATCTGAAATTCTAGGTCTCTATTGGACTTTAAATTAAAAAATGACATTTGTCTTCTTTGGATACAACTGTAGCGAGAAATAATAGATCTTCAAGTTAGCAGTTCATCAGTATCTCCTATGAAAGGTCAGAAACCTAGATACCATGTGGTCCTTCATCAACCCGTCTGTTCTTTAACAGCAGGAAAACTTCAGACAGTGACAAGACCAGAACAAATGGGGTATGATTTGTTTTTTCAGTTGAGGCTTAGCCAGAAGAGTTTGGACCGACACCTAGATTAGGTTAAGGTTTGTTCCACAGAGGAGGTGTGGTTTGCCATGTTGATAAAACAAGTGCTTTTTTATTCATCCTTCTTCAGTCCAGGTGTTGGTTCTTAATGGGATCTGATTTTCTCACTTCCGTTAGAAGGTCCGTGACATTCAGTGGACCACTTGCTCCAAGATGTCTCCTGCAAGTAAAACCCTGCTTGCAGTCTGGTTTCTCCAGGGCTCTGACCACTGTTCTGTTAAATTCCTCAATCTTGTAATGCCCCAAAGGCTTGATTTTCTCCAGATAATGGTTCTATCATTGCTTATAGCCTGATTCTGTCAGCATGTGTCATTGGCAGAATAGCTTTGGCTGCCAAAGCTTTCTGACCTTTGCTCCATCTAAGCTTTGTTAGCATGAAAAGCCTGTTACCCGGAGTCAGAGTCAATCAGAGGATTGTTCATTTAGTACTCAGAAGTTTACCCCCACCCTTTTATCTTTTCTTTAAACATTCGGCTTTAAATCTGCCGCAGAAACTGTGGCTTATCAGAACGGTGTCAACTTGTTTAGGTCAAAAGTTAGATCATGTTTTAGAAACTTTGCAAAGAGTGAAATCCATGGTGTCGATGTTCACCAACTTCTTTGTTCGTTTTATCCGGAAGAAAGGTCAACCTATTACATAAGAAACTGACTATCGGGAAAAATACACGAGCAAAACAAAAGCTAAGTATTCTGCAAAGAAACGTGGTTTGTATGAAGAGAATGCATAGAAATCAGACATGCATAATACCTCTTCCTTTCTGCGCCTCCCTTTGGTATTTCATTACTGTCTTTAAGATAGTCATAGAATTTTAGTTAATGAAGGAACTACAGAGACCATCTGGCTTTGTGCTTTTCACACATGCTCACTGGATTCCGGTGGCTTGAGGGCAGCAGGGATGGAAGCAGATGAAGAGATCCCATAGCAGAGAGCATAGGTTCTAGAGCCAGGCTGTCTGGCTTCAGTCCAAGCAAACATATGTCTTAGGATGAAACCAAGTCCCTGCTTATCTCCCCCTCCCTAGCATACACATCCTTTCTCGGTTTGCTACGAATCTTTTCAGTCCTCTCTCTGTGCACTTACATACATACATCATACATAGTTTTTAAAAATATTTACATGAGGAGTTTGCTTTTTTTTAATCTTAATCTCTTTCAGATCTTTCCATATTTATGCCCCTAATATTATGATCTGAGTCTTCACATCCCTTCTCCTCACACCCAGCAGGTAAAAAGTTGGTTCAGTCCCTTTGGAGGTATTTTAGGCTTCTCCCAGGATGTGGGCTCAAGTGAAAGTACCCCAAGAGATTTTGTCAGGTTCTAGATCCAGGGGTTCCATTCTCTCCTTGCTTTCCTACTAAATTATGTCATCTCGCCAACCTCATCTTTAGCCTTTTTTTAATGGGGACCAGAATGCTCCTTTCCCCAAAGTGTTCATCTCGGGTGGAGGTATCTGACCTAGTTGCTACCTTTGGCAATTCAAAGTGATAAAATGTTGTATCTTTGGGGATGTTAAGGTCCATACTGTCTCTCCTTGGTGACCACACTGGCTGAGCTGGGGTGGGGGCATTTGGAAATTTGGGCAGAAGGGGGAGATAGGGGCGCATTTTTGGGTCATCACCATGATGGGTAGTCACTATAGCTACTTCGTGTCAGGAGCCAAGGATGCTAAATGTCTTGCAGTGCTTAAGACAGGCTCTCAAACAAAGAATGTGTTGGATCCCAAATGCTTTTGACACCCTGTGGAGGAAGCTCATAACCTACAAAGCGCCCAGAAAGAATGAGGATTGACTTGGGCTAACAATGGGGGAGTCATCACCAGCCACAGGGCCTTGTGTATACAGGGTGGCAGTGGGAGCAGGCCCAGGATGATCTGCTGAGGGCAGGAACAAAAATGCAGAAGAGACGGAGTTCAGGGCTCTAGTTGTACTGGAATGTAGTCACAAATGGAAATGGGAGGACAAAAACTTGAAGGGACGAGGTCCAGAGATCAGCAGGGGCAAGAGCAGGTGTCATCTGAAATCGGATGGAACTATGGGAAAAGAATGTGACCGCTTTTCTGGAATTACATGATTAGTTGCCAAATATGTCTTTAGTTGCAAGTCTTTCCTTTGAAATGGTTTGTTGGAGGGCACAAATTTAGACCTTCTGGTGCCACCTCGTTAACAATATGCTTATAGAAAGACTTAAGTCATAGCTAAGTATTCTCCTTATGGAAAAAAATGTAGTTATGTAAAAGACAAATGAATCGCGCCTCAAACTTATAAATTGTTGAATGTTCCTATTGTCCAGATGGATTGGGGCCCTTGGCCGATCGTGCCAAGTCTGAACAAGCCCATCACTGTGCTGGGATGGAGAGAGAATCGCATCCACCCACCGCTGAACATGCCCGAGGAAACCTCAGCTTGGAGTTTTATGTTGTGCCCCTCAGGAGTCAAGGGTCACATGAGGAATCTTTCTGTTGATTCATAGATAGTGAAGGGAGGGCCTCTGGCTCTTGGAAAAGGCCAGTGTCTCTTAGACCCAGGCGAATTAGGAATGTGGGGCATAGGTGAGAGGCTCTGAGTAGTGGCCATTTTCCCATCATGCTTGTTTCTCATTTCAAATTGTTTTTAGTAGAAAAATTAAGTACATTCCTTTGCTCAGACATAAATTTTGAGAATGCTTATATTCTTTTCTCAGGCGAGGATTCATTTACAATCACCCACCTTACTCTTTATTTCCAGTGTGACTCAGGAAATCAGATTTAATTTGATTCTTTAGAGAACCACAAATACTCTTGTTCGTAGAGGGAAGGCTTTTCTTATAGAATCCTGTCACAGAATGTGTGGCCCCAGGAGCGGTGGCCAGACTAGAGGTAGGCAACTGACAGCCCATGTACCAAACCAGCTCACTGCCTGTGTCAGTGAATGAAATTTCCCTGGAGCACAGCGTGCCGGTTTGTGTGCGTGTCGTCTGGGGCTGCCATCGTGCCACGGTGCCAGGGCTCAGTGTTGTGACAGAGCCGTATGGCCTGCAAAGCCTCAGTATTTACCATCTGGGCCTTTATAGAAAAAGTTTGCTAACCCCGGGGCCAGACAGCCAGCTCATTCCTGCAGGTGAAATCGTATTCTTTCTCCAACTTTCATTCCAAAACCGAAGTTGTATGACTGAGACCAAAAAAAGGTGGGGCCGAGGGAGGTACAGAATTTAAAGAAAAACAAAATCACATTTAAGAGATTAAAAAGTACTTACTTTTCCCTTGCTTATGGTAAAATAGAAATGCCTAGGTAAAGTATCAGTCTACCTTTTGGCTTTATAGCAACCCCTAGAGTACCACGTTACTTTGGGGCAAGGTCCCTGGCAGAAGAAAATAAACCCTGTCACCTGATTTTAGGATCTAGCACTTCCTCTGTCCCCAGGCAGGTTTAAGTTTCACAAGGAAAGGCGGATAATCAACACAACGCGGAGTGATGCCCAGAGGTGCCTAGTGGGGAGTGGACACAGCAGAGAAGAGCTGGTAGCTGAGTGGGAGGCATGGGCAGGCTCTGTG